CAAATCCTGATTGAAGTTAACACCTACCAACACTTTGAGTTTTTTTTCTCGGCAAAAATGTTCAATACAGGGTGTCCGGAAAGTAAAGATACAAATACTCTAATTTTGATAGATTTCGGTTTTTTGTAATGAAATTGCTATGGATTGTGGAGGAACTATATTACAATACATGTACCAACTTTCATAACATATAGTCTAAACGCGTTTAAGTTACGGTTGTCATAGTTACGGAGGTGAGGGGTATGTGGAGCAGTTCCAGGATATCTCTAAATTGTGAAAAATTGCAAAAATATGACCATTTGAAACATTGTTCATTATTGTATTTTTTATCAATGTTTTGTTTTGTTTGATATTGTATTCTTGCTGCCATAGTATTCTCTTTAGTATAATGATATCATTGATACATATCATAACAATGTGATGTCACCAGTATAATCATAGAAAAAGTATACGACTGCTTAGAAAAGGGGTCTCTGGACTAATAGGAAAGTGAACAGTCCACCTCCTCAGTCAATGCACAAATTCAAAAGAAAACAAATCTTACAATTGGATGTCTTGACATTAAACCTTTTTGCACAATGGCCCATATTACCCTCATAATGGGCCGTTGGACTTCTACATTAACGAATAGTTTAAAGCAATATTTGTTAGAAGTTCAACATGAAAATGAGACTCGGCTGTAAGTCAATGTTATCAGCAATCTTAGAGATTGACAGCAGTGGTTTTGTCAAGTCTTTGAATCTCCAGTCAAAATGCACAAAGAATATTTAGATAATGGTGGGAACTACATTATATGGATAACAGTAGTAGTGTCAAATGAATAAATAATGTTACAATACTAATCCTTTGCTGTTGTGGTACATAATCTGATGTATAATAGCAACAGATGATGGAGTGTCAAGATGATATGAACAGGAGAAAAGAATTATAAAACATAATTGTGACGCTGCTCCACATACCCGCGACTCCTGTTACCATAACAACCATAACTTTTTTATTTTGAAACAATTTGTCATGACAGTTGCAGGATATATTGTCATAATGTCATTCTACAATCTGTAGCAATTTCATCTCACAACAGGTAAATCTATTAAAATTAGAGCATTTGTATCTTTACTTTCCGGACACCCTGTATACACAGGTTTTACTACATCCACAAATGATAAAGTTCTCAGTATTAGAAATAACCCTCATAAACATGTATTCTCGACGAACATGTTTGCATGAGAAAGTAACATATCATCTTGATGTAGCTGTATGACACCAGGAACTTTTACATATAAAAAATGGCTTAGCAGACACATATGCACGTATGTACTAAATGAACTTGAAACCGAACTAAAAATGTGTTAAATATGAAAGACGTTTTGTGGGAGAAATCGAAAACAGGTTTCGAGAACACGTACATGGTCCGTATCCTTTGGTTGGTGAATCTATCCTGTGAAATGAGACGTTTTCTACACTTGTATAGATATGATAATATCAACGTCTCAAGTTGAGACATTGATATTATCATATCTATACTCTCAACCCTTTAGTTTTCTGCTTTCACACACGTAAATTAAAGTCTGTATTCTACGTTTTTATGTGCGATATTCTGAAAAAGATTATCCCTCTTATTAGTTATGTGTGAATTGTTTAAGTTGTTAAATCAGCTCATTCTTGACCCCCTCCCTTGTCAATCTTTAGAGAGGTACCTAAACGTACGTACATTGTCTAAAACTCCGTTTTCACTGACCGGTCCTTTTGATCCCCTGTGTACTTCATGTGAGGGAATAGACCGCTGGTTATTTGTCGGTCTTCATGGGACTTCACAAGACTTGATCGGTCTTTTTGAAAAATCTGTTGATATTCTGTTGAGTCCAATGAAGTCCGATGGATTCCGCTACGAAAAGACCACTGAGCTTATTGCGGAATGGGCCGTTCCATTCTTTCAACGGTCTTCATCGGATTTTTTTGTTGAAATTTGATCTCACACTCCATCGGACTTGACAGGACTCCATCGAACTAGAAAGGACTCCAACGGACTCGACGGGTCTCGGGAACACACATTGGACTATCGGACTTTCTGTCTTCACAGGTCTCTAGAAGACTTAAAGGTTCGGGTTAAAACAATCTGTCATTGTAAATGTTTGAATGATTCTAATACTTTTGAGTTATTTCAGACTAAGAATGCTGCTTTTGGGTCATCCTATAATACAATTATTAACAATGTTACAATTAATAAGCATACACCATACCTGCAAATTCATTAGACTTTGTCACAAGAGCTTCGTATATGGCAGCATGACTATTTAAAACCACCACTTGGTCGCCAGCAAAGTCTAGTTTGAATATATTTCCATATGTTTCTTTCCATGATAACAGATCATTGTGGATTTTAACTGAATTTATTTGTAGCGCATTTCCGAGAAACGGTATTCCTCTAGGACCAGGTATCCGGGATAAGATCCTCTTTTTCGGGTCGAAAAATCGCCTGAGAAGAAAAACTATAACGACAGCGAATATGCACGAAAAGATCCACATGCTTATTCAGCAGCTGCAAGTATACTGGCTACTGCTTCAACGTTCAACATATTTATTAGCTGTACAGGGGCAAATGCCATATTAAACATAAAATTATAATGAACACAAACATCTTAAAACACAAAACTAGTGATGACTATGACTAAATCTATTTCACTTTATGTACCATGAAGCAACATTTCTAATATACTTTACGATAATGTGTCATTATTATATTTATAAAAGGGTCATAAATAATAATTTTGAAAAGAGATCCAAGACGGTTTTGACTCAGAGCATAAGGGGCCGTCTTGTGCTGAACATGGGAAAGAAAACGCAATGATGACTGCATCGATTTCATTAATTTCCGTGGCATTTTTTCTTTATTCCTTTTAGTTTTGATTTTTTTCACCATAACATTAACTAACTACTCAATATGCAACTTTTCACCACGTAGAATTTTAAAATATTCAGTTTGAAAATTCCATTTTTATAATGGAGCTCAATGCAATGGGAAAAATGACATAATTTGGATTATTTTCAAACTAGCGGCGCGATTTTCTTGAAATTGACCGATATACTAAATATTGGTAAGACAAAATGTTTGAAGAAAAATGAAGAACATTCACCGTCCTGGTTACGCAAAATATAGAAAAACGTGAAATAATCATAAAAACCTGTAAAAATAGATTGAAGGGGGTGATATTTATTTTAATGTGCCTTTCACTACTACAATGGTTTACTTATTTTAAAAGCATATCTTCCAGCATGTGTATCAAGCGGAAGTAATACAATAAGTGAGTTATCATTTATTGGAATGGTATTATTATATCCCTTAGCAATGATGACAAAAAGGTAAAATCAATCATATCACATACTAGTTCTTACCATCAAATCGATCTGTTATAATGCATATTAAACAATATAGCAGTAGATCTTCAAATTCAAGAATTGAGCTGAATTGTAAGATAATAGATAATATAAATTGCTAATCTCTCTGTATAATCCCTTTCTCTGAATCATACTAAATTATAATATTTCGGTATGCTTATTTTAGCTGCTGTAGTTTAGGTCACTTGATGAGATATTCAGTAACATGCTGTCACTAGAGACAAAACTTGACACTAAATAATCACCCGAAATAAACTATATGAATTCTTCATACTTTCTTCTTTTGTAATACATCCATTCTTGAAAATTAGCATTCAAAGCTTTTCAATGCAATCATGAATTTAGTGATCTGACCCTTAAAAAGCTTTTCAGGGGGAATAGTTTGTCCACCTGTAGCCCTAAAGCCCGGTATACACCAATGGGGCAAGTTGGGACCTCCATAGACTTAACATTGCGTGGGACCTCGTGGGACCTTTTGGGATTTTGCCCCATAAAGTCCGTGGGACTCCATGGGACTCCGTGGGATTTTGCCCCATCTTGCCCCATCGAGTCCCACGAGGTCCCATGAGGTCCCACGTGGGACTCGGTTGGACTCGATGGGGCAAGATGGGGCAAAATCCCACGAAGTCCCATCGAGAATGAACATGTTCATTCTTTCCATGGGGCATCGTGGGATTTTCGATCATATGACGTCTTGTGTGAAGCCCGACATACACCAATGGGGCACGGTGGGATTTGATGGGACTCCATGGGGCTTGATGGGACTCCATGGGGCACGATGAGGCAAAGTTGGGATTCGATGGGGCAAGATGGGACTCGATGGGGCAAGTGGGATTTTGCCCCATTGGTGTATACCGGGCTTTAGGTGTATCATCTTTATCTAGCCATATTTTCCTAGGCCTGCTGGAATACCTATTTCAGTGTGCAAGTTTAGCATTGTTTTCCCATTGATCATTTGAGTTCTCATGTCAATAAATGGAAATAAAAATGATGGAGTAGTTTATTTTATTGTAAAAATCAAAAATAAAACAAGGTTTGGTCAGGAAGGGAACAGGTGAAATCCTTGGGATATATGAATTAATTAATTATAAGTTAGAAACATATTCATGTTTCTACAATTTAGGGTAACCCTGTGTATTATTCTACTGTGCATGGTTATACCCGTGCAAAATATTGCAAAAGTTATTTACTTATTATCATAATTCAATGTGACAATATCAGTCTTATCTTCAAATTTGTATATAATAGTTTGCCTGTAAGGTTGGGCAAGCCGTCTATTACCTTGATAGTATAAGATGTTGATTTTGCAAAGCTCTTATGGGCTAATTCTACAATATGAACAGTAACATATATGTAAGGGTACGAGTATGTAGTCCAGTATGTAGTAAACAAAGGAGTATTTTGGTCAACTCAATACATCTGATAAACACTAGATGAAGTGTTTTCTATGCAATGATCATATACACAGGCTGCTTATTCATTGTTACTGCGAATTTCAAAAGCTTCCAAATTGTGTGGAATAGAGCATGCAATGTTTTTCAGTTTGAAGCAGGTTTTAGTACATTCTGACCAATTGTATTTTCAGACTTATTCATTTCTTGATAATGTAATACTGACCTACTTATCTGCTTAACATGTCTTTAAGCTACATTTTCAATGATATATCATTTATTTACATGAGGTCATTGTTGGCTGAATAATCATGCATTATTTTTGCACAATGGACCAAAATCAACTAGGGACCAAGTTTTAGACATTGCAAAAAACATTAGACCGGCCGGGGTCCTTTTGAAAGAAGGTGTGACAGATGTGGCATAAAGTGTGTTCATATCCAATTAGATTATCGAATAGCATTATTAAAAAACAGTTTTTTTTTTTTTTTTTTTTTTTTATTTATTTATATATTTATACAAAGAATACAGTAAACAAGTGCACATGTGCTTGTGGCTGGGCATCAGCATTATCAGCCACGTTATATGATGAAAATCAATTAACAGTATTCAATCAATTATTAAAATAGGGGTTGTATTTGTGGAGGGTTACAGTGGTGGGGGTGACCTAGACATTTTTACATCTTTCAAAAAAGATGGCACTACATTTGAGGATATTTAAGTTTACAGCTTTAGGTAGCCTTTTATCGCCATTGAGGATAAGGGAGAGTTTGTCTCGTTGTGATCTATATTTAGTAGAATATTCTATGTTCATATTTTTTAATTCATTTTCAAATTCTGTCCAAAATGTCGATCTTAGATTACAGTGAAAAATTACGTGATTGGTTGTTTCACCATCCATTCCACACTGGCAAATGGGGGAGTTTATATTAGTGAAATTGTGAGCGTAAAGGTGAGCCTTAAAAATGAGATCACAGCGCACTCTATTGAAAATTATTTCTTGTTTTCTTGAAACGGAGAGATCTGATGAATTTGTAACATCGTCATTGAATAGATCTATTTTAAGTCTGGATTTGAATATACTAAGGGTAGGTAAATTTCTTATTTCAGGTGAAAGCTTATTCCATTCAGTCAGTGTTTTTGATATGCAAGATCTATTAGAAAATGAGGATTTATTAGGAATTGTGTAGCTCAGTTGATTTCTTAGACCATAAGCATGGTTTCTTTTGAGAGGCTCAAATATGTTAAGAACATAAGAGGGCTGCATATTATTATGTGCCCTATACATGAAAATGCTTCTGTGATATTGACGCCTCTTTGTTAATGTTGGCCAATTTAAATTATTCAACACTTTAATTGTCGAAGTCCCATGTAGAGTACCTGAACAAATGCAAGCGGCTTTATAGTAAAGTCGATCTAATAACTGTAATTTTGTTGTGTTTGCACACCCATATAAAATATCACCATAGTCAAAAAGTGGCAGGATAAAAGATTTAAAGATTGTTTCGAGATGTTTTCCATTTATTTTCTGACAGAGCGCTTTCAGTGGATTTAAAAGTTTGTCTATTCTTGCACCAAGTTCAGTTATGTGAAGGTCAAAAGTGAGATTTCTGTCTAGGATTAAGCCTAAGTGCTTATGGCTGTTTACTCTTGGTATAATGTCGTTTCCGAGAGAAAGATCTATGGTCAAAATTTCACGTTTCTTTGGATTGCAAAAGGTCAAATCTTTGCTTTTAGAAGCTTTAAAATTTAATTTCCATACTTCAGACCATTGAAAAATATGGTTGAGATCCTCCTGTAGGGCATTGTTCATTTCAGTTGCTGTTTCAGCTGTGAATGACTGGTAAATTGAGGTATCATCTGCGTAGATGAAACATTTTGAATTCAAATTGTCAGGTAAATCATTGATATAGATCAAAAATAAGAGGGGCCCCAGGATCGAGCCTTGAGGAACTCCGGAATTGATATAACCCTTTTCAGATAAGTTTGACTCATGACCATCTAATACCACCTTCACTTGTCTGTGTAGTAAATATGATTTCATCAATTCCAGAATATTCGGACCAAAACCAAACATTTTCAATTTTCCTAATAGTAGCCCATGGGGCATTGAATCAAATGCAGCCGAAATATCAAGATATATCCCTCTTACATTAGCCCCATTTTCAATTTCATTTGTTATGTGGTCAATAATACTTAGAAGTTGTGCCTGTGTGCTATGTCCTGGCAGGAAACCACTTTGAAGATTGTAAAATAAATTGTTAGAAATGAGATGATCAAAGAGTCTTTTAAAAATAATGCGCTCGGCGACTTTAGAAATACAAGACAGGAGTGTTATTGGGCGATAATTTTTCACATCTGTTTTATCTTTGTTTTTATGAATAGCTACAATATGACCGACCTTCCATAGTTGAGGATATTGATTCAAAGTAAACATTTTGTTAAGCAGTTTTGATAAAATAGGTGAAAGTGATGGTGCTGCCATTTTTAGCATTCTATTACTCAACATGTCAGGGCCAGTGGCTTTATTAATATTTAAGCCGAGTAGAATGTTATAGACTTCTCTGTCATTGGTAGAGAGCAGGTCAAATGTTATATCGGTTCTTGGAATAAATGGTTCATTTCCATGATTATAATTATTATGGTATTTGTCAATAAAATGTGATAACAATAAATTTGCTTTGTCGCAACTATCAGTGTAATTATTACCATTGGCATCGTTGAGGAGGGGTATTTTACTATTTTTTGATTTGCCTAGGAGCCTACTAATAATTGACCAGTACCCCTTACTTCCATATCTATGAGTTGTTAATTTTTGGTACAATCTTGATTCCATTGCCTCTTTTGCCTCACTTATAGCCTCATTTACCAGTTTACATTGATCTGTATATTTTTGAAGGTACATGTCATTATGAGTTTTTCTATACTTATAATGCAATTTATTTCTTTTATTAATTAATGTTTTAATGTCACTTGTGAACCATGACTTGTTAGTAGATTTTACAACAATTTCTGAGTTTGGAATGAGGTCTGTGAAAATTGCAAGTAGACTTCCAGAAAATATTTTGATAAGGTCATCAAAGTTGTTGTTAGTGTCTATTAAATGATCAAAATTTGCCGCACGGATTGCATTGTTAACTAAGTTAATGTCTGCCTCATCATATTTCCATATTTTCCTTGAATACGGGCGATTTTTTTGATTACCAAGAAAGCACTCGGTGTTTATTGAACAATGGTCTGTGTTGCCAATTGGAGGAGAGACATAAGTATTTGTAATGATGTCAGGGTTATTTGAGATGAGTAAATCTATACATGATCTGCTGATGTTTGTTATACGAGTCGGTTCATCAATGAGTTGCACAAGTCCAAGTTCCTCGATACATTCAAATAAAAATTTTCCTGTAGTGTTTTCATTATCCAAGGCCCACCATTCTTTACATCTCGCATTGAAATCTCCATTGATAAAAATTGATTCAGGGTTATTATCAAGTGCCAGATTACATGAAGCTGTAAACCGATTACAAAAATCATTTGCATCATTTTGAGACTGAGAAGGTGATCTATAATATATTGCATAAAGGTAAGATTTATAGTTAATGGTTAACTCAATCCATAAGGAATCACCCTGATCATTCATGAGGTCATATCTTACTTTAAAAGGTATGTCATCTTTAACATATATCAGAAGTCCTCGATTCTTGTTTAAGTATACATGAGAATGACCATCAATAGAATACTCAGAATTAATTACCTCTTGGGTTAAGTTTCCAACTTCACAAAGTCCAATAATGTCAATTCCATTCATGTGAATTCTATCTTTTAGTGCTTTAAATCTGGCATTTACATTGGCACCTATACTGTTAATATTTGAGAAAATAATTTTTGTGAGTTGAAAGTTATTTGTAGGTCCTGGATTTGGGTGAACATCATTGCTCAGTAAGAGAATAGCTTGGACTGTGTTAGGTATATAACATAATAGAGCACAGAATGGAATAAACATTAAAAATATACTTGCAAACATCTTAATCATATAAAATGTTCCAAAATGTTTGTGATTGCCATGAATATATATCATTGTACTCATGAAAGTAAATGCAGGGAGAGCCACCAAGAATATACTAATGCATCCAAGTAAAAGAATCTTATAAGATATACAGGCAGTTTGTCTCATTGAGCCTGTCATGTTGAGGTACAATGTACATGTTATAACGAATGTAAGACCAAAGTGCCATAAAATTCTGAGAAATAAATTCAAATAATTTGGACTGCATTTATTGGGGACCCTGGTTTCTCCGTTATATAGTGCACAAGATTTTTGGCAATTGTATATTCCAATACATATCCTCCATGCAGAAACACTAATACCCATGAAAGTTTTTAAAAAAAGTTCTATTTACCAAAAAGACTGATGTATCATGTCTGGTCAGCCTAGATGATTATAAATATGCTCTGCCTCTTATTCTTATTGTGAAATAAATGTAATATGCAATATGTTAAAAAGAGCAAGGCTTAGAATAAACTCTAAAATAAAACGGTTTTCCACCAATAAAACTGTATTCCTCCACAAAAACACCAGATTATTTAGTTGATTGTGTAACTGGTTATTAGATAAAAGCAATGGAAAGTAAATATAAATTTTTGTTTGACTTTAACTATTAGTTGTTAGCTCTGAATGGCAATTTATCCAACATAACATTTGTTCAGAGGCATAAAAAACAGTAAACAGTAGAGCCCATGAACACAGAATGAGCTCAGTATGAAAGCATAACTCAAAAGTATCTACAGCATCACCCATTTGAAGTGAGCAGTTTTGGATAACATACAAGTCACCAAATAGCGCTGTTGATTGGCGCAATGTGAGGTCATGACCTTTGGGCTTATGCCAAATTAGTGATTGCAGTATAAAAGTCAATTTACACACATACGTTTCACTGTAGCCTATGTTACATGTATGTCTAAAGTCAATAACCCTGCAGACGACCAAATATCTGAGCTATAAAAAGTTATGCTTGTCCTTTACCCATACCAATAAAACATAGGAAATAACTTTACTGCATGAGCAAACAAAATCTTACACTGCATTGGACTGTCATTGCAGCTAAAGTGTCTAATAAAAATGTCACAGCGTCGAGAATAACAACACTACAGTATCTCTAAATGCAATATACATGTAATTTAGAGAGCAATTTTTAGAATATAGACAAGTAACATATGTGCTCACTCACTGCAGATTGCTAAAATTAAATTGAATTTGTGTATGACACTGCACTGAGCTAATCCAGTAAGCTTTCCATGAAACAATTATGCAATGTAACCTATAACTTATATATGTAAATACCTTAATGATGTGGTGACTGGAATATGCGATCGTGCATTACTAGTTTCGAGACAATCGAGTAGCTGTACTAATACTAAGCAGGCTTGATCGTTCTGTAGGTCACTTTGACTTGCGCATGCGCAGTCGCCGTGGTAAACAAAACAAATGTACTGAAGTACAGATCAAGTGTACGGATATTTGCATGGGATATACATTCTAAAACTAGTGTTTTCTCGGTGATTTGGAATATTCCAGTGGCCACATTGTATTGAGTTCAAAGATAACAGACTGATTTTACCGTTGGTCCATTTATGTTGAAAAAGTATTTGATTTTATCTCATAATTTGTCACTCGTAACTCGTTCGTAAGCAGGAAATGTCTTGTGATAGATCTATACGTAGAGGTACAGAAATATAACTATGGCAAATGTTCAAGTATTGTTTACACCTCGAAGTCATCCCTCGAATGTTTATTCATTTCAGAATATAATCGCTTGATGATCTTAGTAGAAAAGGCAATATATTTGGGAACCTATTTACACTATATAGTCACCTTTGGGGCCTTTAGACCGCGACCCTAAAATCTTGATGGCCGTATCAGTGGTGGTTGGAGAGTTGTCCCTGTCGTAGGTCTGTTTGCTGAACGTCCACCCCTATTTGCCCAAGTATTCGCTCTTCCACCTCTGGGTGGTCCGGTAGGTCGTGGGCCAGAATTACTCGGGTCAGGAGGTATCATATTGATGATTCTATCCAGGTCGTCACGATCAGTCACCTCGAATGTGTGCCTCTTTTTTCCAGTGGGGATAGCATAGATCTTACCATAAGAGCTCCATGCCCTCTCGATCTCTTCGTGCTGCTTCAGTTTATAGAGTAGGTCTCTGTTCAGAGGGCTCAGATCTTCATATATGACAAGCTGGGATCCTTTGAGGAGGCGTTTGTTTTGCATCACCCAGTCTTTGACAGGTCTAAATTTAAATTTGACAATAATCGCACGAGGTTTCGCATCCCTTGTAGCAGGGGAATAGGGACCTAGCCTGTGTGAGACCTCAATATCGTTTTCTTCAATGGGAATTATCTCCTTTAAGCTATCCACAACACTAGCTGGGCAATTTTCCTTACTTGCTTCATCTGGGTTTTGCATTTCAGGGACACCTAGGATTCGTATTGTGTTTTTCCTCGAATATTGAGCGTTGTGGTTTGTACTTCTAGTCAGATCATCTACACGCTCATTAAGTCTCTTGATATCAGATTTTAAGTCCTGATTTTCTTTTTTTAGATCAGTGATGAGATTGTTTGTATCTTTCATAGCTGTGGTCATGGCTTTAGAGACAGCTCTATCAATAGAATTTTCTAATTTTGATTCTAGTCTATTCATGAGTATATCCATGCAGTTTAGGAGCTTAGGATCTACATCTGTGGTATCCTTGGCATAAATCGTGTCATGACAAGTAATAAACTCCTCACCAGTTTCACTGAAGGCACCCGTACTATCATCTCGTAGCTTGCGTTTGCTATTCTGTCGTTCATCGCCGTCTGGTCCATCGTTTTTGGCTCGTCCGCCATCTTGTCCGCCATTTGCAAAACTTTTTTTGCTTTCAGATCCACACTGAATAAAATCCGTAATGGTTGCTTGTGACATCTTGCTTCAAGGTTTTATCGTGTTTTAAATGTCTATAAGAGTCTTATGCGTGTCTGCAATCATCAATAAGTATCACTTGCCTCTCGTATTTCAAACAATTACCATTTTAATCGAGAGCCTTTCAACAGCTAGCAAGTCATTACTAACCGGAAGTTTCATTACGTTACATGGTGTGACATAGGGTGCATAATTACAGAAATTGATTTTTTTTATCTCGTAGATCTTTTTTTAGATATGCTAACCTTTCAAATTCAAGCAATTCCATTTCTGTAGCATTGGTTTCAATGAAAACTGATCATGTATCATTAATGGAAACGAACATTTTGCAAAAGATCCTTGAAGAATCTCTGATTAAATAAAATAGATTAGCGTGGTATGGCTTTGATAGTAAATGGTCCTGGTTCGAGTATGATTCCCAGTGTGTAATTTCTTGGGTCAGCACTAGGTGGCTCTGCGTCCTCAGGTTGAACGATTGTGAATCTTTGTAGTATATTGGAGAGGAACAAAAACATCCTCGTTCTCGCAAATTGTTCCGCTGCACACACTCTACGTCCTGCGCCAAATGGGAAGATTCTGAAATAAATACATGTACACACAGTTACTTGGTGGGCAAAACTTAACCCACATTCCGTCGTACAATTATCTTTGACCAATATTCTTTTAATATAGCAGATAATTTCTACTTTACCTATGTATAAAAATGCCTGAACAAAGGTGTGTCCTATATATGTCATCTACATACTAGACAGTTGGATCAGACAATTGTCTTCGGATGGATGGATACTAGTATTCCAAATCATTAACAAAAATGAGATCACAAAATTATTTTATGGAATTTACTCATGTATATGTCCAACTTGTTCAATGTAACAATTCAGATATATCAATAAGGCATTAACATGATAAAATGACACCACTTAGTTACTCAAAATATTGTTACAGACGCCGATCGACAACCGCCGTCACAAAAAAAGAAGACATAAAAATTGGTTTTCTCAAATAGGCCACCTTCCTCATACTTATTTCTCTCTTCAATAGACACCAGTTGACCAGAATCGTCTAGCCATCTCTCAGGTTTGTAACTCCATGGTTCATCAAATATCTTTTCATCATGGTGCAAGGCAAACAGGTTTATCCAGACCTAAAACACAAAGCGATAATAAAATAAAATGACTTTCACACGCCCGATATCGGAAAAATGTACTGAGGGGGAGTGGCTAATTTTCGCTAGAAATTCGACAAGGGAAAGTTTACAATTGAATTTCTAAATGAATAGGTGCACGACGCGGAGAAATATGTCAGGTCTTTTAGGATAATTTTGAACTGATGGGCTTCTAAGATATTAGATCTATTGAAAAAGGCGCAACGTCGCCAACATGCAAATGGCAATGATTTTGCTCTAAATCCAACAGAGGTCTACACGACCTGTAATCAATACTTGTAAAAGTGATGTTATTATCACAAAACGTGTGTCATTGTTGGTTTTGTAAAATAAGTTACCATACGTTATATAAAAAATCATCGAAAATAAATATAACTAAACGGGGGTTGGTGAACGGAGGGAGTAATATTTATTTCCAACATTTCCAAATCTCCCTATTTTTCACTCTTTAGAGTTGTAACATCAAGTTGTTATTGAGTTACTGATTTAATTTTACAAATACATGAATTCGCAGAGATTTCTTCCACCATAAAGTCATATTACTCATCTGTTCACCCCCCCCCCCTTCGTTCAATTTTAATCATTTTTTATCTATTGTATGGAAACCTATTTTAAAAAACAGTAATAGCATTAATTTTGTGATAAAATGTCAATATGTACTTATTACAGGTCGTGTAGACCATTGTTGTTTGATTTGCAACAAAAACATTGGCATTTGCACGTTGGTGATGCGACTTTTTTAGTAGATCTATATCTAAGAAGCCTATCATTTCAAAAAAATTCTAAAAGACCTAACATATTTCCCCGTGTCGTGCTCCTATTTATCTAATTCAACTATGAACTTTCTCTTGAAAAAGTAAATCTCTCTGATTTGTTGAACTTTCTAGCATAAGAATCAAATCAAACGCGTCTAAATTGAAAATAAGAGACGATACTTATTAACGGCAAAAGATTGTTAAAATTGACAAAAGCTGATGGTTTTAATGTCTGGCGTTGCTCAACCTGTGTGGATTTCGGGATATCGTATCCTCCGACTGAAGTATCTACAGTTGTCTTGTGTGGTACAGCAATAGGAACATGTGACACATATCTCAATATTTCATGTATATTCGCCTGCAACACCGGCATAGCGTCTCTGTCCTCGATAGATGGCGCCCTAGATGTCCCTACGACAGAATCAACCTCATGCTGTAGACGGGTCTGTACCTCAGGGTGAAGTATCATCAACTGCAGGTAGGCAGAAACCACAACTTGCGTGGTTATTATGCCTGCTCCAAGCATGTCATCCACTGTAAACCAAAATCACTTGACAAAAATGCCATCACGTGCTTGCATACTTTGTGGCGATGTAGATGGCAGTAACGTGATAAGTTATTTGTAATATTAACATAGCACCAGAAAGTAGATACTTTCCCATGAGAATGATATTATTATGGCATCATTCAGTATATGGGTAAAGTCGACTGTCCTTTCATTTTATATCATTGTTCACATGCGATCATGTTTTTATTACAAAGGACATGTGTCGGTAAACCCTTCTTTTAGCCCCCTTCCAGTGCGTCCCAAAAACGCATCAAGCAAAGCACGCATAATAAAACCACAAAACTATCAATGCCTCCAAATTAAATGAAATTGATGTAATCATCACTGGTTTTGTGGCTTTACAATATATTTTGCGTCTTTTTGGGACGCACTGTATACAGTATATATGGACATATCATTGAAGAGGAAGTGTGTCGTATTAGTTAAAATGTGATTTCAGAGTTTTGACATTTGAATTTGACACTCGAGTGGTTTAAAGGTCAACGTTTAGAGGTGCTTATTTTGTCCAAATGTTACCCCTTTCTAATACTAGAAATGAAAGCAATTAGCTTAATTTTGATTGTGACCGATAATAAGACACGCGAATGGAAATAAAAATGTTTTTAATTTGTAGTTAGTAAATTAACTATCCAATATAGTAAATACACTCCCCTCCATCAGTTTGGCAACCTTAGCTCCCTCATTAAACAACGTGTTAAAGCCTCTTTATGTTTGAATTTTTATTTACATAACTTATAAGGAAAAAACTTATAATATTGATTAAAATGTAATTTGACTTCATTTACAATGCCTCCAAATTTTTCAAATTTTTCCTTAATTACAATAAGTCGAGCATTGATGAATATATATTTGAAGAATTTTTGAAAATTGTCATTCCCATGTAAACCAATGGGAAATTGTGGGTTCGAGGTAAATCTGATTTCAGGATATCTATCCAGTAAAAGATTCGCCAAAGAATATTTTTATATAGAACATTGAATTGCCTAACTCTTTTGTAACCTAAGTGTTCAGTTACTTTATGAATACTAATACAGAGCTTCAAAGTCATTTTTGAAAATCATTTTTCGCCTCATGTGTTTTTTTCAATAGAAGGAGCTTTTTGAAAAATCATTTTGACTTTGAAGACCTATAACTATTTTAAACCTGAAGAAACGTATGATTTTCTATTACATAAAGTTAGCAAATTCAATTGACTACTTACTTTGTATTTTTGCAAGAACACGGATAGATGAATATTTTGTCATATGACTTGCGGCAAAACTACCATTTCCCATGGGAATGTCGATTTTCAAAACTTCATCAGATTTACCATCAATTTTCGACCCATTGTAATTTAGAATTAGAATTGGGAAAATTTGGAGGCATTGGTTCATGAATTCAAGTTACGTTTCCATTAATATCCAGAGCTGGCGTTAACGCCGTTTTTTACCGTTTTTACGCACATTTGATCAAGTCTGACGCAGAATTGACAACTAATCGCGTTTCATTGACGCACTTTGATCCCCAGGTAGACTAACGCAATTTCCCGGGAAGAAAAGCAATACACAAGAAAAAACAAGGTTTCGACCGATATCTTTCCGATCAGATTCATTCTCCGTCTTTCAGACGAAAATCTCCGGCTTTCAATTAAGTTAAACATATCAAATGAAAGAATATAAATTGGCCTACCTTGTGGAGACAAAATCTAAGTATAATAGGCAGATAATCAGCAGTGTTTTAGAGAAACACTGAGATAATTATCTTACTGTAATCCGGCCACCATTTTGATTGACCTCTAAAACCAAAACGTCATTGCTTTGAGATTAATGGGTCAGTAGCAAAAAACCTTTATCACTGTCCTGCCAACTTTCAATGGATACTATTATTAACAATTAAACATAAACTTGAAAACAAACTGTTTAATTAATACAATTGATCTTCTTGGCATTATCTTACATCATTAGGAAGCACAAAGGGCAACATTTGAAAACAAATAAAATATTACAAGTCAGAGTGTTGATCCTTATATTTCATTGAGATTGATAATATGTCAGAAAGGAATATTGAGTTTATTAATTTACACCAGAGTGAGGAGGAACAAGGGGCAACATTGAAAAACAAAGTAATTAAGAAAAAAATTAATTACAATCAATTATGTATTGATCTGCTTCATTGAGATCAATTGCTCATATACAGTTTGATATTAGTGACAGGTAAATACTGATTTTATCTTATGGTTAAATGTTTTCAAAAAAAGTTCAAAAATCTGCAAAATTTATCTGAAAAAATAAAAATAAAGTTTTCAAACAACACAATTTTTCTTATTTTTCTTATTGTTATTATAAAGAGAGGGTCTAAATTTCAAAATCTTCGGGTGGTGGCACGCCCCCAGACCCCCCTAGTTTGCGCGGCACTGCTATTTGGTCATTATCCATTGATTTGGTTTGTTTCACCTAACCTTTTGGCCTAAGATGATTTTCAGTCTCTAAGACATGAAGTCTCATTGCAGCACATTTATTTTTGTACTTTAGATTATCCGAACTGCCGAAATGACGTTTTATTATCATAATTCAATTTGACCCACATTTTCCAAGTTTGACCCACTTTTTTGATTGAACTGGGTCATGTGACCCAAAAAATGTCGAGGCTACCGCCAGTACTGTAATCATAAGTACTATGTATTTTCCTCACAGGTTATGTAAATAAAAGTTCAAACATAAAGAGCCTTTAACACGTAGTTCAATGAGGGAGCTAAGGTTGCCAAACCTTTGGAGGGGAGTGTACATGGATATACATCCAATGTGTGTGAATATATGTTGGAAAAGATTGTTCTACCTAAAAGGATTATTACATGATCGCTGAAAGTGGCATCTCCATCTTCCCTCGCCTTAAGAAGGGCTTCGGTGAGGTCTCTGATGTCATCCCTATTGAAAGATTTCTACAAAAACATAATACCCATTACTATGTGTTTTTCTAACTGTTGTTTGATAATATGAGACTACATATTCTACCAACACCTACACGCTATCTTAAATTAGTTCTAACTTTAAATTTTCTAAATGCTCATGGAGGGAAATTTATTTGGGAATTGTCAAAGGCTTGTCAAAAGAATTGTCAAAAGAATTGGGGCCATATTGGCAGTTTCACGTTATTCACCTGTGTCCGCTGTAATTATTAGTATTTATTACCACAGTTCTCCACAGTTAGCCAAAAACGGACTTACCTTATGTTCTTCCACCCATTCGCCAATTATCTGATTCCTCATTTTTAGAAAAAATTGCATCTTCTTGAACGTTTGATTTCCAAAATATCGCAACCAAGGAAACATATCGAGTTCATCTCCAACACCGGCAGAGAGGGCTTCCGATACTGCGTGCTGGTACTCTATGATATCGTTCAATTTAGGGTCATCGTCCTCGAAACGATGAGACGCTAGCTACAATTAGGTGTGCAAAACAATGATCTAGTACTATCATATAAACTATAAATCAATTTGTGCCGTATGCAGTTCATGCGTCAACGATTTGATTTCAATGGTTATTCATGTACTTAGACCTACAGAGACAAATACAGGCAAAATGATCAGTTAGCAAACTTATACATTTACCAATTCAGCCATAATGTTGATTAGAGTCGTATAGATATCTTTCTTTGGATCAAATGGACGCTCATTGTAAACATTAAACTTGTCCATGCAACATTGTATTTCCGCATTAATTCTGTGGATGACTTTTTCACTGTTGTCATCGTACATCTTTACTGCACTATGGATAACTCTCTTAACATTGGCGAATTCATTGTCGAAATCACGAAACACTATACCACGATGAGCTTCCATATATTCATTCCTAAACGAATCTGCAACTCTTCCTGAAATGTGAAAGTGAAATTCAACCCAATGTTTCTTTCAGTCAATGAATGGAATACTGTAAATTAATTATGTGGTAATAATTAAAACCAGGATGCATGTGAGAACAAAATAATATGTGGTGAAACTCAATATGCAAAAAAGTCCAGAGGGGTCTTGATTGTGTTATCCTATGGCATAGAGCCTCTTTAACATGTGCATACATGTCTAATGATCTCTGAACTTCAAATGCTTTTTTCTTTGTGAGTTGTTTTTTTCTTGGTCCAATATTAAAGCAAATCAAACTGTGTCATATTTGAGCAAGTGTGTAACATGTTTCAATGATTATTTTTTCATTTAAATTAAGTATACAGTAGTGTGCCTTTAAATTTGTGTCCAGACTGCATTTATCCAACGAAAAAAATCGCTCACGAAACAATTCTTTTGTGTTACACTGCTCTTAATGCTTCGTTGCACGTGCGCATTACTCATCTACCCCACCTACTTCCAAATACCATTTGCCAATCTAAATGCAAGATTGTTTTGTAAATGAAGATGCAATTCATATATTTAGCCCCTCGCTTTTGCTACATTGACGAAAGTCCTTTATATTACCAAAGTGTGTTATTTTGACTAATTAAGTCAAAGTAACTAAAGCGATGGTCTAAATGCATGAAATACAGCTTTATTTAAATATCAAATTCCAAACCGAGACCATTTCTAAAAGCTAGCCTATATTGTCTAACTTTGTGCCAAATGATGATTCGCAACATGACTTATAAGTAAGTTTAAATCGAGAAAACAAAAACTCGTATCCAGGAAGTTCATTCATTTTGTTACATTGACGTTCCGTCAAAGTAGCTAGCTGTGGAACAGTGATTTTGATGGCTTCTTAAATGCCAAAGTTCTTCTTAAACAGGCAATGCGCCTATTTTTGAAGGGAGAGGGAGAAAATATTATTTGAGACATGTTACTCACGCACTCAATCAAATATGATAAAAACTTTAATTTGGGTCAATACTGAAGTGAAAGAAATATTGCTTGCATAGAAAACAGCATTTGAAGTTCAGAGATCAAAGGAAGTGAATTACCACCTTTCACAAAGTCTATGTTTTAAATAAATGTTGGATTAAAAGATGGCGTATGGTTGAAAATCCTATCAAAAATGAATGGATAATTAATGCAAACAACAATGCTAGATCGAAAATATTTTTTCATTTAGTGTCAACTCTGATGTAATATGTTTAAGCTGTTTTTGGTGTCAAATGAAAGATCGGGTACTTATCAATTCATTTGAAATACTATGAATATTAAATGTGAGAGTTCATTTACGCATTTTGTTCCTTTAATGTACGATCTCTGGAGGCCTTCATTAATTATGCATTTAGGTCGTTCAAAACTTTTCGATTGAAAATGAAAACTCGAATTTTTCCAAGTAGCCTTTTGGTGACGAGATTTTCTGAAATCTCGTGATTGCTTACATTGGCACCTACCACAACTGAAAATAGTATTCCAAAATGAGTGTGACAGATGAGTAATGGTAAATGCGCATGCGCAACGAAGCATTCCACGTGTCGTGTCACACCAAATTATGGCTTCGTCAGGTGATTGCTTCGTTGAATAAACGCAGTGTGGACACTATTTTTAGCTAACCTTCCTATCAAAAAAGTATTTCGTTGAACTCAATCCGGCTGTGTAACAAGTATGTTAGAATTCTACAGCATTAATTGCCCTCGATTAAGAATTATTATAGCCTACATGTATGTGCAATATTACGAATCTAAACCATCTTATCAATCAATAAGCATCATACCTGCAAATTCCTTTGATTTTGTCACGAGAGCTTCATGTATAGCAGCATGACTATTTAAAACCACCACTTGGTCGCCAGCAAAGTCTAGTTTGAATATATCTCCATAGGTCTCCTTCCATGACAAGAGATCCTTGTGAATATTTATCGGATCTATCTGTAGCGCATTTCCAAGAAATGGTATTCCTCTGGGACCGGGTATCTGGGATAAGATCCTCTTTTTCGGGTCGAAGAATCGACGGAGAAGAAAAACAATCACGAATGTGAAAATACCTAGCAAGGCCAACATGTTCATCGACCAGCCAGCTAATATATATACCACTAGCTACTGCTACCAGTTGTTATGTATTTTTACTGCACTAGGTTATACACACATGTTGTTTAAATGGTTTTCTAAGATTTAGGGGCACTTCTACCCTATAGGCTGCTCTGATGTTCTATTTCCAGCCTCTGATAAATTCACCTCTCCTAAAATGTTCGAATCATACATGCATTCATTTTCAATTTGTGTTATTTCTGAAAGTTTAAAGCGAATGATCTCATTTCTGGTATCCCCCGGAAAAATGAAAATATGCAACAAATATAGTCTTTTGAAAACTCGAAAAAAAGTATGGCGTGAGATGGATGACAGCTGAAGGGTAAACACAATGGTGTGCTAACATTTTTCAACAGATGAATATATACATTCTACAGAGCCGTAAACAAACCTGGTAGATTAGTCAGATTCAAGATTATTTACGATACTGCAAGCAGTTACAAGCTTTGCAAATTCCTCTATGATAATGGCCATAACATAATAGAAATAAATTTGCACATAATTAAAATTCTTGAAAATGGCAGTCATTTTGTTTGAACAACATTCTTGAAAACTCATTATTCAGCAGTGCTCCTATGTCCCTAGGCATTGGGATAAAAAAAATTAATCCAAGTCCGTTGACTGGTATTTTGGGAAAATGGTGGCCATTTTGAATTGAACGGCCATATTTGAAATGCCTCCTTGAGCAAAGGTCCTTTGCCCATGAGATATTCAGCCTAAAAATGGACCAATTTCCAATGTGTGAAACATTGTTTTCCATTGAAAAGTGGGCGTCGCCCACAATGTAATCCAATGGGATGGAAAGAATGGCCGACGGACCAGTTTTAACGTTATCCGATTTTCTTGAAAAAAAATCAGTGAACTACCAGACCATTTGTAACCCCGTGTTAAAGGGCCGTTGTAATCTGAGAACATTCTTGAAAAATGAAACACCCTAGAGGGGCCGCTATTAACTCTTAATGAGTTACGATTTTTTGTAGCAATCTTGAGTATCAGAGGCCATATAAATTATTCATAACATAAACAACAGGGATTAAGTTCCCTTAGATTTCATCATAAAAGAAACAACTTGAATATGAACAATACGAGATCTTTATTTGTAACAATTATGACAAATATTTTGCTCTTCTCATTTGAGAAAATCCCTCTCTACGTATGTATGGCAATGTCACTGAACAAGACGACGGTGGCCAGGAATGTTGCACACCTTTTAAACTGAAGAGGAAATGCTCCAGAGGATGTATACTTTTTGAATTCCACACTCAATTGGGCACCAGATTGCTTCTGTTATCATATATCTGTTAATGGAAAGACTGCGTATGCTTCTTGCTCGTAGAAAAATCATCGCAAAATTTTAGCACCATATGGAAGAATAAATAAAAAATATAAGTGCGCAAGACGATAAACAAGAAGTCTCAAACAGCAAGTTCTAGTTAGTTCAATGTCGTGGTGGAGCATCGTGGAACTATTTCACATCCTTTCTTCTCAAGTATCGATGAAACTAGAACAAGGAAATGGATGTTGGAGTGCCAACCATGTTGCGTGCGCATCATCGGCAGTTAGACATACATAGAAACGGATCCCTGGCCTCAGAACAGGAATGGTGACATCTTCCAAATTCATAACCTCTGAGGTCTTTGTTCATCATCCTTGAAACATACAAGTTAAATATTACATTATAACATGAAGCGAGACAGACATAAATTGTTTTTATCTCATTGATTGATTTAGATACCAAATTAAATTATTGAAACACTCCGCGAGAAATTGCGAACGGTTGATATATTATATAGATACGATTACGGTTCGTGCAACATTGAACCAGTTAAACAAGCTGCTCATATATGCCGTGTATTTCAAGTGCTTGTGTGCGTTTTTGTTTTTTTCTTCAGATAGTTTTATTCTTCAATTCTGTAATACCAGTATTAGCTCGTCGTTTAGCAACCATTTTCATTTCTAAGACAAAATCAGTTTACTTTGTTGAACTTGGAATAAAATATAAATAAGATACGTACATATCATATCGTTTACCAATTGCATTTACATCTTCCTTCATTGCATTCGTGTTTCTTTGATGCACATCTCTATAAATGTTTAACATATTTTTTATTTTATACAATAGTTTGTTTTGCTTAACAATTTCGTTGTATATTGAATCTTCGGTTGGCTCTGAATCAAATGTCATATCATCATCGCCAATGGGAACAGGTCCTTTAGGATCTATATCAAAAAGAGCATAAGCCTCAGCTGCGTCGTCATCTACGCCATTGACGCCCAGTATCTTGTACCAGTTACTAATAGGGTAGCCCATACCTGAAAACAATAATATGTATATATGTTTGTTTTAATGTTATTTCTTTTGGAGTTTTAGAGGGCGCTGTGCGTAATACTTTTCGGGCTTGTTTAGTCTTTTTGTTTATTGCTTCCAAGGTAACAGAGCCCATATTTATTTACAAGTTTATTAAAAAGCTCTTTTGTTTTAAGGTTTTTATCTAAAATGTATACAAGTAGGCGGTTCTTCCAAGGAAGCTAAATGTCGCATTCACTTATTAAAATTAGGCATACCAAAGTGGGATGTATAGTAATTAATTTTCTTCTTTCTACATTAAACATTATTGCTAATCTATATTCATAAAATGAATGAAATTGATTTAAAAAGGGGTCTCGACTGATTTTTCTGTTCTCCAATTGTACAGTTGCTAATATCACAACTTTTTAAATATGTCAATGGGTCGATTTAATGGGTCGAGATGGTTTGGATTAGAAACCCTGTATTTAAATCCCCTTGTCTGCAATACAATTAACGACGTCAACAAAAAGTAGAAACTTGATTCTCGTGATCTTTATTTTTTAATCAAAGTGAATCCCCCTCAAATAACGTAATCATTGGGAACTTTTGATACTACCTCGGTCTATTAATTGTTTGCGTTTGCATTGTCTACCTGATGGTTCCCTATGAGATTACATTTATCATTGATGGAATAGCAAGATTATCTTAATTGAAAACTATATTTAATTTTCATGAACATCGTATGTAACTTTAACTCGAAGCCTTCTTCCCATTTACGTGTTTCAATAATGATAATAAAATTCTAATAAAACATCGTCTATGAATGATAAAAATGATGAAACAGTTAAATACTCGAGTGTTTCACGACGTAATTTCTATAATTCCACACAACAAAAGACAGTTGCTTCATATTACATCAATGAAAGGCATTAGTAAATGAAATTGATACATCAATTGTATTGTATTCTGTTTTATTAACGTTGAAGCACGTATTGTTCCGTGTTGTCGATAGTTTACGACCAAATCTGGTATGGCGACGATAAACACTCAGGGTGAACTGTGAACGCAGCGTTTGAAGAACATAAGCCCATGTAAACTATACCAACCAATATATCCTACAAGGGAGTATAGTAACTATTATCATATTATCAACCCAATAAGTATATTCTGGAATTTGAACAGAAAAAGAACACACCTTGTTAGTCGGCTATTAGTACGAGCCTCAAGGGGACACTTGCAAACAATTCAAAGGCCTATTTATTCTCAATTTATTTATTGTATACGTACTCAAAATGTTCCATTACATTTTTGATGGCTTATTTTGAGTCCAACAGACTAGAACGGGCGCGTAAACCTTAATTTCCTTATTTTGTCACCACCACACGTAAAATTAACAAAAAATATATACGTTTTGATCGACAATTATCTGATATTAAAACCTGGGTCTGTAAATGAGAAAAAATGACAAATAACTAACTTTTTGTTTTGTACTTGTAATTGTATTGCACTGCATTTAATTTTATTGTATTATATTGTATTGTCGTATTAAATTGTATTATATTTCATTCAGTCGGTATTATAAACGACTCGCCATGTAATGAAGAATGTGAGGATGTCTTAAATAGAGTGAGTACTGATCATATTGACCTTAAACCTTGGCATTTTTCTACTTCAGATTGTTCTATTTCGTGTATTGTTAAACTTAGTCTTTGCACGTAACGTTCTGCGTAGACCTTTTCGTAAACATATCTCTTCCGACAATATTATCAAGAATTGAGTCTACATATTTCTTTCAAGGAATTAAAAATTAACAAGACATCAACATGACAAAATACCATAGATAGATCATAAAGATGGGATAATGACTTATGATAGATTCAATATTAAGTTTGTAATTAACACATTAATATTTATTAAAATAAAAGATATGTTATTATACCATAATTGATGATTAGGTTCGACAATTATTTCTAAAAATGATGACAAAAAATCATCTCTACTGGGAAACAAGGTAATCAATTCATTATAGAATAATAAGTCCTATTGTTGTTAAAATAGCGCAAGATGTTTTGAAGTGATTGATCCTCCAGTATAATACCTTCGATAGTTTACAATAATCTGGTAGCTTTAATCTCATCGTAATGGTCTATCATAGAGAAATAATAGTTCTAAAGCACATATTTACATATAATGACGCTGAAATCATAGGTCTAATTTACGCGCAACGTCATCCTTTATATAACAAGCTCGCGTTGGTAATGTCCATGACGAAACTATAATGTGTTGGGGGATAATTACTTTGAAGGGTCAAACTACAATAAGTTCTTTAAACAACACAATCTTTGTGATTGCGGAGGTTCAGTCCACCTTGCTATATACTTCTTTTAATCACATGCAACTGTGATTTTCCATATAGATTTCAGGTCTAATGACATAATAATGGTTTGAATTATGACGTTAACTTGCAGATGACATGCCTATCACGTATACTTTTGCTGCCTTCCAACATGGAAACATCCAAGATCATTTTGAGATAAAAGTAAAAGTAAAAATAAAAGTGCATGCAGCCAAAATAAAATGATTTTATGTCAGTTATTTACATGATGTTTCTGCATCTCCATCAATTTAGAAATTTCGAGCTATCAAGTGCATATTTCAGAATATACTTGTCTCGTCTAATACAAGAACAAACTAAATATCCTTGGTCAAATTTATGCATTAGGACGGGAACGAAACTTCAAAGCTTGAGATATCAAAGTGAAAACATTAAAAACTCTAGATGAACCAAATTAATGTAATGCAAAGTGAATATTGTGAGTGCAATGTGAATATATGTCATGCTTTAGTCAGAAAGAACCAATAAAACGTCCTCGGTCAAATCCATTAGGACGATGGTGATACACTTGATTACTGCTTGATTTCGGAACCTCGAATATACGAGTTTTCTTTTTTCCTTATTTCACGCGTTGTAGGCAGAATTCTCACGGCATTTTTATCATAAACGTGTGTCAGTATCACATGTGTAAAAAATGCACATGTTTTCGAACAAATAGTCTGAAAACACAAGAATCTCAATTGCTACATGAATGGAACTTTTTAAAACAGACAAAAAGTGGCCGTGCATGTATGCAGAAAGTTGTTTTTAGCAGAATTCATATTTAGTTATAATCACTGGACCAAATATAATTTTTCTCGTGTAGCAAACAAAACAGAAAGTCTCTTTGGCAACCAATGATATCATTGATCAATTTGTTTGCGAATCAAAATTGAGAAATAGTCGCTGAGAGTTTCAGCGTAATCTCAACAAACAGAGAAGAGGACAGATCAATTATAGAGAAAGTTGACAAAACAGGTTGCAATGAAATTGACGATCACATTTAAATGTTGAACTATTTTATAAGTATTGTAGCAATTTAGGAATTAAATGATGGTGTAAAACGTAATTAATTGTTAAAACTCTCAAAAATATGTGTTCAGAAAATGTGTTTTAAAAAACAAATGGTATGACAAAACTATAATTGATTGTTAAATACTGTATCTGTATTATCATAAATGAAAATAAAACCATATTTTAAAAGATTTTGTTTTGTTTGTGAGATTCATGTCATGCATTTTTCTGAAAGAAAGAAATTTTTAAATGCATTCAAATGATTCCATTGTAATACAAAGGAGTGGTATCGAAATGGAGAACTGAATTCAACAATGCTTTTCCCTTAACCCAATCATTGAAAACATTCTGTAAAAAACACGTATTTTATGTAATGTTGACTGATTGACAACAATTTAATGCGAAAATTATTTTAAAATATTTTATATAACTGTTTTTGTTAACATTTTTTGTTTTTTTAGTGTAATTGTTTTGGCTCCTTTCTACGAATTCTTGAGAATAAAATAAAATGTCTTTCAGAACCTTGTTGGAACAAAATAGCATATACAACATGTTTTTAGACCTCTCAATATTATAGTTATTACAAAGGAATTTTTGGTTGATATGAAAAAGTATTCAAAAAATTAAAACAAAATCCCCCCAAAATAGATAAAAATCAAGATAAATCTTTTATTTCATTAACAAGATACTTTTTTAAAATCAACCAAAATTTCTTTTGTACAATTACAATATTGAGAGACCTAAACATGAACATGAACAACTGTGTTTATGTCGTTTTGTTCCAATGAGGTTCGGAAAGATGTTTCATTTCACTCTGGAAACATGATACCAAGAACAAAACAAGTGTTTGGTGTGTTTTCTAAAACATATAGATGAAAGTATATATATATTTTTCAAATTATATTGTTACCATTCAAAAGATGACCATTAGGCTAAATTGACGATGTGTTAAATTTTTAGATTTTCTATGACTAGTTTAAGAGAAACGTGTGTTCAAAAAGTTCTCCATATCGATACCACTCCTTTAATGTTATAATCTGACGAGAGACATCGAGATAGCCGATCAAATCCGGAATTTGTCGAAGATGCATACATGTTTAAATTCATCAGAATTGCGTTACCTACGATTATGCAATGAGTTCCAATATATTGAATTGTACAACTTTTGTAAAAACAGAAACAATCGTGTTAAATACAGTAAACGCTCAATACATTGCAGAAAAGTGGACACACAATGACAAAAACTTTACATTCTATCGTTTCATGAAGGGAGAGCCAAATGAGCAGATTCCAATGACCTATTCATGTCATTAGCACATCCGATGCAGAACTATTTACCTATATCTATAATCAATTAATCCCAAGTGGGATTAAGTAATTAATCTGTCCCTGTAGTGCGCAGTATCAGGATACGTGTATAAATAATCCACTGGCTATTGTCTAGCTCATGAGTGCAAATGTGACAACCAATTGTGATAAATCATCTACTGTATTTCTTTGAATTTTGTATATGGTTTTCAGTCATACCTTTCGTATACCGCGTATTAGCTGCGGATCGAACGTGGCACCGATAATCATGATCGATCAAAGAAATCTATTAATATGCGTCTTACATCAATTCGGTACATTACAGTTATAATTTCTGTAAACATGAAATATGGGTGGGTCTAATGAGAGTCTGTTTCTTCTATCTTCTATCCATCATATACCCCTACCCCTACCAGTAAGCCTATATCCCAGAACCTCGTTAGTGAATAAGGAAGGGGGTGGTTAAGAAATATATGTTAAGGATATTCTGACGTTAACATCGACAATTAAGACAATACCACCTACCCCCCATCTGGGGGCGTCTAATGGATCATTGCGAAGACATGATCTGGGGTGACCCAATTATTACTATATTGGCCGAGTGGTATGAGTGATCTGATTTATTGAAGCGTTAACGTGTGGGACTTTTATGACGTCATACACACAATGAAGTGAATGCTTTCGTTTGTTTCTCTTGACATTGATGTTCTAGAAATGTTCGTTATAGAAAGTCTGACACATCTATTATATCTAAATAAATATTACGATTTTGACATATTTATCAACACTTTCATCGGTGAATTTTGATTTTTGAAACAAAACATTTCAAAATTCTAAAACGGGAAAATTTTATTTATTGTGTAACAGCCTTTTGATAGCTACTTGCTTTAATAATATAATATATTATGATATTATCCTTGTCTGGATCTGTTCCGGATTACCCATTGGCGTATGCGTTCATAACAATCTTGCATTATTAATCAAGTAATTTTCTATATCGTTTGGTCTTTTAACTGATATAATATCATTTAATAGGATATAATGAAAGGTGGTAGAGTGCCTCTTTTTGTATGTTAAGCTTGATAAATCATACTTCGGAATAATTTAGTTTATTCTATTACAACTTGATATCTAATTTATCGGTTTGTTGTTCCTTATCGCCAGTTGTATTCTAACATTTTCCTTTTTCTAATTGTTTCTTTTTACTTTTTGGCCTATCCCCGTTTGCATCTAAGACTTCAAATTAAACATCAGAAATGCTGCAATAGTCCGGAGAGTTGTTTAGAGATATCCCATATCTAACTGGGTGCTTTACCACCATTCATTTTTCATATTTTCAAATTTTGAAGTCTTATTGTCACGCCTAACCATCGACAACGTACAGTGACAAAATATACCGTCGTACACTTTAGATATACGGTGTCACTATTCTAACTGATATGAAGCAAAAACGATGATGTGGGTGTAGTGTAGGTTTTAAAAATTAATCTGAGGAATACTTAAGGGATTTTATGTTTAATTTCGTGTGTATTCGATTTGGAAGACATTTACCTTTCTAATTCCGTGAAAAGATTTTCGGGCAGTGCTCGAGCCTTTTCGTAGTAAATCTACCCATCAACAATGATCGGTTGGAAAATGTTGTTTTTTCACATTTCCTTTGCTCATTTTTTTCCCTGTCGCCTAAGAGTGTCGATTATTTTCATGGGAATATGTTTTTCAAAGTTACATAATTAAGGTCGGTTGAAGATTTAATAAATATTCACGTTTTTGCTAAAATAAATCATAAGTGTACGTTGTCATCTCGATGTACGTTATCCCATTAAACTTACTTATATGATTCCCAGTTAACCCTTATGTAGACAACGTATTTTTCATAACCCTAAGGGAAAGGGGGATCAGATTCATTTAAAACTGAAACGGAACAATCCAGTATTACTAATTCAATTTGATTAAACTTTATTGAACCTCTACACTTTCCAGATATAGCATAAACGGGATTTCGAAAGTCATCTTAAGATTATTAAAATTTATAAAAGTGCAACATAACGTAACGTACCGACGCCGAATGGTCAAAAAGGTTGGAAGATAACACCACATGGTCAAATATTAATCACCATATCAACACTTTCATAAAATAAAATAGCATTTATAAAACCTTCAACCGTCTTAGATGGTGTAGTTTAGAGAAACATATTCTCATAAAAATATTCGGCACTCTTAGACGACAGGGGAGAAAATGATCAAAGGAAATGTGTAAAAAACACATTTTTCCAACCGACCAATTGCATGGGTAGATTAACAACGAAAAAATCGTTTAACGTAATTAGAAAGCTAAATGTCTTCCTAATCGAATACAAACGAAATCAAACATGAAATCCTTTACGTACTCCTCAAATTAATTTTTTAAAACCACAATCAAACCTACATCGTAGTTTTCGCTTCAAATCAGTTAACTCGTAGTGACACCGTACACCTAAAGTGTACGACGGTATATCTTGTCTTGTACGTTGTCGATGGTTAGGCGTGATTGTGTTTTTAGACTAAATTGAGAGCCGTTTTGTATGACGGCCAAACACATTGAACACCCATCAGTTCACCAATACGAAGAGAGTAATCCTTCCAAAGACTATCAAATTTAGATGAATATTATGTTTTCCAAATCATTTTTGGCAAAGGTATTTTCTAAAAAATTTCCTTTAATACTTTTATCTTATAAAGACTTTTTAACATATGCATATTAATTGTTTTGGTGAATTCAATCATTTAAACATTCGTAAACAATTTCATGATTTGAAGAGTTTACAAGCTTTGTGAACTCCATAAATGTTTGGTTATATATTGATGAACAAATTCTTTATATTCAACTCTATATTTCAAATTGTCATTGAAATGGTACACTGTATATCTGATCTGAAATATATATATGGACAAAGAAACTCAGATCACAAAAGAAAATGGCAATAGTATCAAATACTTAAATACAATGACATTTGACTCTTAAGATATACTTGTAGTTACTTAACTCATGGCCTTGACTTTTGTATGTATTGACCTTAAGGTTGAACTTGATGTTGAATTTATATGAATCCTGCTGTGTTTTATATGTTTTCAGGGAATGGCGATGTGTGGTTTAAATACTGAACCTTTCTGGTGACATTGACCTGTTATTCCGCCTAATAAGTGACTTTTACATTGAAGCCCAACTGCAATCTACTACATTAGAGATTGACCCGCCCCCCCCCCGACAAACTCTGAGATGAGAAAAGGAATATGTATGTGATTACACTGTATTGTAAATAGAATATCGAACGTGTAGTGTATCCTTCCCCCGCCTCTTCTTTCAGGCTCTCCACCTGATGCTGTAATGGCAAACGACACAGAGAGAACGGATATCAATAAACACATAAGAAACTATTAACCTTTTAATCTCAATAATTAGTTCACCAAACATAAGTGTGTGTGCATGGAGAAGCACGTGCATGCGGTGATATTCAGGAATTGTCGAATTTGCCCCTTTAAATTAATGCATCAATCAAACCATGTTTTGAGGCATATATCAAAGCACAAATACAAAGCCTCCTGGAAAACACCATAGAGCAAGACAGAACAAAACGAGAGAAATAAGCATTTAAGAACACGACCAATCATGAGGAAAACAAACCACAAAAGCCCAAAACTATGATCATACACGCAGGACACGGGAAAAGAACACAGGATTCCTCCGAGGGGGTTCTGGCTGTGTCTTCGAGTGTTAGATACATGTACGTTAACGGCAACCGGATACAACAAAAACACACCAAACTTTTCTGATAGATGGTGGTAAAGCTACACGTTTTTTAAATTTACACATGAACGTGTAAAATAATGGTGCCCCATGGAGTCAGTTCTCCTAATTTTAGTATTCACCTGCCCGATTGAATATTAACATATAAGGAAAAAAGCAGTAATTCCTGGGGGTGATAATATTGCACATTTACGTTTTCTTTAAAACGTGTAGCTTAACCGGAGCTCAACCTCCCTAATATTGTATGATCCGGGTATTCTATATGCTGCTCAGTGCAGTGCTTTGTATTCTATTGTTCCATTATAACAGACGCATTAGCCTCGAAATGGTCATTTCATTTTACAGATGACATAGAGTACTACTTATCTATACAATTCAAAAATACGAAGAGAATCTCAAGAGATACGCAACCGATCTGAAGAATAAAATAACAACGGCATCTGCACTAAACAAATAGCACATATCCACGCTCCCTGAAAATACGATTTACTAGTAAGATGTTGTAATTGTCTGTCCATTAATATAAATCAATGTAATCACCAATATCGTATAATTTTATTACACTTAAAATACCATTTCTGCTTTCCTCAGACATTTAGCCTTGTAAGTATGCTTAGCACTAATAACAATAAATAAAATTCACTAATTCAATTATTTGCTTTTTCACTTCATTTATACAAAATTAAAATACGTTCAAAGTTCTCTGCAGACAACCTGCTTTCTTAACAACGCCTAATGTCATTTGGCTCCTTGAGTCATTTAAAAATCGACAATAAAATATCAATTATTCCGTTGATAAGTTTTTTCTTTGTCAGGGTGTATAAAAACGTGGTTTTAAAGCTAAGTCAGAGTGACCTAGGGGGCACGAATTTTTTACATTTTCTTTAATATCGAAGGAGAAATCAATAAAGCGATGGCAAAATTCAAAGCATAATTTATTCTTAAACCTATAATAGGTCGATTTTTAATAAAATAAAAGTGTCTGATCTGTTATTGCCGTTAATATTAATGCATATTTTGAAAATTCTTTTTTTCGGTAGAAATTGAACTCTCAAGTTTGGTCCATCCTATACCTCATATACCGGTACTTTTGTTTTTAGGTTAAAGATAATAAATATATATGTCAGTCTGGATGAAATATCCAAACTTAGATATATTTTGACACTGGTCGATGATCGTTGATTGGCCATTCTGCACTTATTGGTGCACTTTTAACTGCCGTCAAATAAGGCCAGCCTGCTCTAATTTTATTGAAATATTTGATTTAAATGTTGATAAAATAACTGATAAATAATTGTGATATGTTAAAATGAAACAAACTCTTCAAAACATTTGATATTCGCTCCCAAATTAAGACAGGTTAGTTCCTAAGACGTGAATTAAATCGGTGAATAAAATAGTGAAAAATTATGATCTAAGCCATGAACGTTTGCGAAATATCCAAAGTTAATTCAATCAATTCAATTCTAGTTTGGATTCAATTGGTTGTATATCTCGAAAATATAAATCAAACTTAACACTTACATGTCATAATTATTGCAGACAGAATGTAAATTGTCAAAACAAAATGTCCCATCTTCTATCCTTATGAGAAATGTTATAAATGGATAGCGTCCTTTTTTAAATCTAAACTTCTAATAAGTTGACAATCTCTTTCCGAGTGATGCACTCTGCGTCTATAAAACATATTCCGCACTCCCCATGGATTAACTACCTTTTATCCGGTATCCAATTAATAAACACAATTCGCATCACTGAAGGTGGAAAGTTTGCAAATCTAAGCAGGAGAAATAATCAAATCGCATTTGTCTTGATGTAATAAGGTGAAAATGCTAAGAGCAGATATAACAGTGCTTACTTAATAATTAGTGTATAAACTTAATAGATTGTGCTAAATCTTCGTATAAGAGAGACGGATTTACGCCTTATCCATGCATATTAGTAAGGTAAAATGCATTCTAATTTAACAGCCCCCACCCCCCACACACCCTCTTCGGTCTTTGACTCTTTATATGTGAATATGAGTTTATGAGTGGAGATGGGTGATATCCATGAGTATCCATGAGATATACAATGTGTACTAAAATGCGTGATAACCTTTTCAATCATGTATTGGAATGTAATTGGAACTATTATTAGTAAGTTTTCATACTGTCATGAATATTTTAAAATATACTTGATGTAGGGCCATTTCATTGACGTCAACGGTTTGATGTTGCTATTGCTTTTAGTCTGATAACATAAACAAGTTAATGAAGTTATTGAAAACTTGTTAATGCTATCATCGTCAATACTGATACTAGTAAAAAAAGGAACAAGGCATTAACATGACAAAATGTCACCACCTAAAACAATTTGGTCAATTTAAAGCAAGTTGAAAAAATACCTCTTTGACTTTTTTGACATTGAGAAGGTCATTGAAGGTCAAATGTCAAATGTAAAGTCAGATTTGAACTTCTTAGAACATGTAGATGATTTTGAAAAAAAAATTAAGTAAATTTGAAGCAAGTTGAAAAAAGACCTTTTTGACCTTGAAAAGGTCATTGAAGGTCAAATGTCAAATCTAAAGTGAGATTTGAACTTCTGAGAACATGTAGATGATTTTGAAAAAAAAATTAGTCAATTTGAAGCAAGTTGAAAAAAGACCTTTTTGACCTTGAGAAGGTCATTGAAGGTCAAAGGTCAAATCTAAAGTCAGATTTGAACTTCTGAGAACTTGTAAAGTCAAATGTGAACTTCTGAAAAGATGTAGATGATTTTGAAAAAAAACATTTGGTCAATTTGAAGCAAGTTGAAAACAGACCTTTTTGACCTTTTTTGACCTTGAGAAGGTCATTGAAGGTCAAATGTCAAATCTAAAGTTATATTTGAATTTCTGAGAACATGTAGATGATTTTGAAATTTTTTTTAGTCAATTTGAAGCAAGATGAAAAAATACCTTTTTGACCTTTTTTGACATTGAGAAGGTCATTGAAGGTCAAATGTCAAATCTAAAGTCAGATTTGAATTTCTGAGAACATGTAGATGATTTTGAAAAAAAAATGTAGTCAATTTGAAGCAAGTTGAAAACAGACCTTTTTGACCTTTATGACCTTGAGAAGGTCATTGAAGGTCAAATGTCAAATCTTAAGTCAGATTTGAAGGTCAAATGTCAAATCTAAAGTCAAATCTAAAGTCAGATTTGAATTTCTGAGAACATGTAGATGATTTTGAAAAAACATTTAGTCAATTTGAAGCAAGTTGAAAAAAGACCTTTTTGACATTGAGAAGGTCATTGAAGGTCAAATGTCAAAACTAAAGTCAGATTTGAACTTCTGAGAACATGTAGATGATTTAGAAAAAAATTGAAGTCAATCTAAACAGTATTTGTTAAGTTATAGGAAGTTGTAAGAAATTGTTACAGACGCCGGACGCCAGACGCCGGACGCCAACCACCAACCGCCGTCGCAAAAAAACGGAGACCATAACAATATGTCACCACTTTTGGTGGTGACATAAAAAAAACGGAGACCATAACAATATGTCACCACTTTTGGTGGTGACATAATAATACTTTAGGAAAATCATTGAATCACATTTCAATTCAATGATATTGGGCATATCAACGTCGGTGAGAAATTTTTTTTTTAATTTTAATAAAAGTGCTGGAGCATGCCGTTTACTTCTGGATGTATTTTTAAAAATCGGATATTGATTAAGTCTCAATACATGTATATAGAATGTGACATAAAATGTAAATGTGACATATTATTTCAGACCAAGCACTTCATGTTCTCAACCAGTGTTCGAATATGTCATTATTTTCTAGTGAGAAAACACAGAACTCAAACTAAAGTAGGTTATCAAGTTTCCTTAAATACAAATATTATGAGAATATTATGAGATCTCATGAAACGCAGACTCTCTCGGATACAAAACATATCTTTGTATTTTGTTTTGATGTCCTCCTAAATGCTAATAAAGAAAATGTCTCTTTGTCACTGTTTCACAGCTGCAGTTAGTATCATTCAAGATGGTGGCCAAAATTCTTTTGTTTCCGATTAACTTCCAATTTTAGCTAAACTAAGTTGAATCTGGATTCCAAATATTTCGCTATGCAAACTAGTAAAGTTAAGATTGTAAACAGCCACAAGAAAACATCCGCGATATTTGAGAAATTTAAAGAAAACGGCCTCACTTTGAATGACTTAAACTGAATTTGATGATGACGTAGAAATGACACTGACTGAAACAGTGGATGACACTAACTCTATGGGATGAATACATGCATGGCCATCTGAGTTAGTGTCATCAATGGTGAATATCATATTTGAGTTAGTGTATCATCAACTTCAGTTAGAGTCTGAGTGAAACTGTTTTCTTTAAGATTCTCTATTAATGCGGGTGTAAGCATTTTTTCTTGGCTGTTTACAAATTGTTTCTTTATTAGTTTGCATGACGAAACATTTGGAATCCAGATTCAACTTAGTTTAGCTGAAATCATTGCCATTGGTTTATCAAAAAAGAAAGAATTTTGGCCACCATCTTGAATGATACTAACTGCGGTTAGAGTCATCCAGCTGTGGAACAGTGTTTGTGCTTTTTAAGACGAAACAAACAAGACATAGAGTGAACAGGATCACACCCATGAATAGAATACAGTTTTCGGGATGGAAAGGTAGCCGCCTTAGCATTTACCCAGAATGCCAAAAAACGATTCAGTTCTCAACTTCGTGTAAAACGTTAATACTATATATAAGTAAAAAATAAAGCTGAATTGAATTGAAAACTGCTAATACATGCATAAAGACAATGTTCAATTAACATGTTTTATCACAAGACTTCATTTTGTTGGTTATTTACTTTTTGCATTTCATAGTGTGTTAACTAGGTAGCAAAGTTTAACAACAGAATACCATTACTGAATGATATTAATTGAATCCATCAAAATTGTAAAAAAGTGCTATATAAGACTTTTTGAACAGAGGAATGCCCATTTCTAAGACATACATATTTAATAATTTGAAAAGAATATTACTTGTATTGATAGTACAAACTGCATGACCCAGAACGGCCGTGCAAGATTTACAATACAGATTTCCATAAACTACAGAGACTTGGCCACCCTGTATAACCTCTTCGTGAAATTCAAGTTTAGATAGCCAACTTCACTTTTTTGGCATGAAACACAGACTCATACTGGAGAATACTCTTCAATCGAACTCATATTCTGCAAACGCAGTGTCAGTTCATTTTGGTTTCCAAGACTCATCATATGATTTGTTCATTCTTTTCAATAACAACTTCGGTTTGGGCCTCACTTTTCTTGTGGATTTCACAAGTTTGCCTTGTCTATTGTCATTTTTCACTTTTTCAACAACATCGTCCGATGCCAAGCAAGCTTTGAAACAATCATTACATTTGCCATGGTTATGGCAGCATATATCAAGATCTTCACTGTACATCAATGGTTTCAGGAAAGACCCTCTTATTTTGGTCACGTTCTTCTGTCTAGAAACCTGTGTCTTTTTACTTTTCAAGAATGCAAGATAAGGGTCCTTGGATTCCCATATTCCCTTATTAGAAATTCCACCTTCTTTATCATTGATTGGATCTTTATGAGGTTGGACAGGGGCTGATTTTACTCTTTCTGCAAATGCTTTTTTCATATTGTCGATAGTGTTAAAGCAAACGGTTTCTTGCTCAACAAATACTGTTGTTTGTTCACTTGTCTGCTTATCTTTTACACCATCATTCTCGTTTGTCCCCTCTTTTACCTGTTTAGCATTTTGTCTACAAGCGATGAGTTGTCTAATATTCAAGTTAGGGAATTCCTCCTTAACATTCTCCGTCTTATTTTGATGCCAATTTTCAAATGGACGTTTAATGTGATGATAGCCGATATGTGTTTGTGGTCTGTTTTGGAATTTATCATTATATATAAATTCCTTACATTGTATCATGGGGTCTATTTTTGGGAGTTCTGATAGGTCCAATGAGATTGATCCATTTCTCGTTGTATTAGCACCATCACAGACTGTATCGTTACATATATCGTTGATTCCATCAATCTGTTGAGATTTCGGAAATACAGATTTACATGTCATAACATTGTCTCCACATAAGGCACTATCTTTTGTATCAAAATGTCTCCGTCCAAGAATGGCATTTGCACTTTTAGCACGTTCTTTTATCCCAAGCTCTAGAATACTATTTATTTTAATAACAGGCGTAATTGGCCTTTGTCTTTTGGGTGTATTAATTTGCAAATGTTTTTGAGATTCCCGATTCTCTATTCCAATGGAACTTAGCCAGTTGTTGCCAGTAAGCCCATTGTATTCATACATTATTCTCGTCCCTTTTGTATAAGTCTGTTTTGGTGATCTGTATAGACGGACACGATGATACACATCTTCCTGTATTGATGGTGCTTTATCCATTCTCCATATACTATTTGAAGATGCCATGAATAGTGCCAAAAATCTGTATCTCAAATAAATCTCTCAATTTAGTCAAATGTAACCAAATGACTTTATAAACTACACTCAATGAAATACCTGAATAGTCTTCATTAGTGATAAGAAAAATGTCTTAATTGATCAATTGTGGTTAATTACCTGCTGTTGTTATGGTAAATAAAACCCAATAGATTAAGAGGCATGCTACAGAAGCTAATAATAAAAGCTTTCAATAATCAATTGTATACAATCTATTTCCGTTTCTATTACCATCCGAAATTGTTTATAAAATCAATTCAATTAATACACTTGAACTATGATTTGGGGAATGACATAAAATATATAATATTTATCACAATATAAATCAGCTGATATTTGAGAATTCTACTGATAAACTCCCTCTTGAGTATATTACAAGAATATGTTTCATATACCTTGGTATATTATTTCAATAAAAATACATCTATCAGGACAGAAGTAAATATTTATTACATACACAGAATGACGAGTAAAGAACATTTTAGATTTTAGATCACATTTTATTTAATCCACTATGATATACTACACTTAAAATGTATCAAAAACATTCCTAACAGATTGCACACATTAGAAGAACAGATTGCACACATTAGAAGATTTGACACATTAATGATGACAACCATAAACACAATACAGGTAAATACAATATGAAGACTTCTGCTCTGACTGATACAAACGTTGTTGTAGTATAATTTAGAAGTTTCAATACTATGCCATCTTTCAATGAACAATTCGCATGGTTGTTGAACACATATACGAATACATGTACACAGGATCTAAGTATATATTATGAGGTTATATAATGGTTCTTTCTGTATATCGTTTTTATACTCAAGTGAATATATGATATATTCACAAGTGAGCGTAGCGAACGAGTGAATATTTTATATTCTCACGAGAGTATAAAATGCACGATATACAGAATGAACCATTATATAATCTTATTATGCCACTCTAAGTTCAATTACAGTTGATTCGAACACAATCATAACAATTAAAAACCATAAAAATATCCCATAGCCTCAATAATGCTGATGTTGATCTCGAACCATTTATGACGTCACTTGATTCTAGGAAATCATGAAAATTTTCATGATTTTTTTATTCATTAGTTCCCAGAATGCACTTCTACAGTGGTATACGCTGGAGTGTATACGGAGGAGTTGTATACGATGACGATATACCACTCTCCACTGTATATCGTTGTCATAGACCCATGTTATACAACTGTAATTGGACTTAGAGTGGTATAAACATGAATACATTTCAACCCAGGCACATTGAATAAAAAAGTCATGTGAATAATGACTGTTTTCTTCACTTATTTTTTAATGATAGCAAATCCAAAATAACAGAATTGTGGATGTTCGAACTAGGAGAATGGGTGCCAAATGTGCTCCTCGTCTTTATTCATCTTTAAAATGAACATGCCTAATCAGCCTAATTACCTAATCAGCAAGGCAATATCAAGCAAAGTCTATAAAATACACACAGTTTTGATCAAGAAAGGAATAAGATAAGAATAGTCTTATCTAATTACATAATGTTCTTGTCAGAGAACAAGCATTTATGAAAATAATATTCTGTGCTCTTGGGTCGAATGTAATATGGAGTTTTAGTGTCCCTTAAAACAGTAATCATTACACAGATGAACACTTAAAATATATATTGCAGAAAGTATAAGGCAAAATCATCATACAATTGTAATATTTAAATATATTAATTCATCTGTAAATTATCATTAAAATCATATATTATATATCTAAATTTTATATAATATTACACATGTAAATAAATGCTTATTTATTATATACAGTACATATAAAAATTATGTATGAAAATGAGAAATTTACAAATGAATGTCTCAATATTTCAATTTCACAATCGATTGTGCACAGCTCTATATCTGTGAGATCATATTAATTATGCTGTTTCAAATAAAAGTGGACTCCCAACACAATGAAGCCTAAAACTATCACACTTTTATCTTGGAGGAATTCAAAATTATGCTGAAATTATTTTGGTAAATATCTCTTTGTTGGACATGGCCTGTACAAATGTATATCCACATGAGTGAATATATCACATTTGAAATACACAGATAACTCTATAATAAAATAAAATGAACACAAACTGTGTGAATATATGAAATAATTCTGAAACTCAGAAACATGAACACTTCAAAACCGTTTTACTCAAATCTGCTTTGAGGTGAGACTTGACATAATTCAAATTGTACATTGATCAAAATGTTATCCAGATTCAAAAGTTTACTTCGGGCAGACATGAAAGTCACAAATGAGAATGCTTAATAATCGCTGATTCTTGAAATATTGTGCTCAACATCTTCCAGCACTGGGTGTTCAATGACATACTTCAGTGTGAGTTCTTTAGTTTCACCACCAGGTATATCTATGTCCCATTCTACGTTGTTCATCCTGTTTAACCTTGTCGACTTATTCTTGTCATACTTCTCTGGGTGTTTAATCACAGGTTCTTGCAGAATCACCTGAAAACATAAATGCATTAGTTCATGCTTCGTCTACACATAATTAGCGGTACCTAGCAATGTATTTGTAGGCCATAACAGTGTGAAATAGAATAATACCATTAATAAAAAGGTTTTTGTATTATAAACTGTGGAAATCAAATAGACATTCATATTATCAAACCCTGCCATCTTTTATTTAACATAGGTAATAACAAGGCTGAATTTATTTGCCAGATTCATGCTGCCTCATGTTGTAGGTAAATATAATTATTTATAATATACAGGGTGGTCCAAAAAAAGTGAACCCCTGCAACTGGCCATATTTCCCTTATTACTTGCAGGAATTATTTTATATTTTCACATGTTGTAGAGGAAGGTCTAAAATTTATGTTGGTTCCATACATTTTTCTTAGTCTTGAAATTTGCAGAAATTATAAGCCCTAACCAAACATTACTGAAAATGGACAAATTGTGATTTTCAATATCCGCGATTCTTCAACCCTTTAACACTTTTCCCCTGAGAATTTTTTTTAAGCTGCAGTCTTAAAGAACTTATATTTTCTGACTTTGTGCAATTTTAAATCCTGCACATCATGGCTTAAAACTAGCATCCTACATTTGTTACTTGCAAAGTTATTGTGATCCAAAGAGATGTGCTAAGCTTCCACAGACGAAAACATTTTCCAGTGAAACCATGAACATACCCCTATATGATCTTGAAATGTCAATATCTTCATAAATCATGGACCAATTCTAATGATATATGGCTCAAAACATTGGATTGGATATTGGATTTTCTTTAGATTTTTTAAAGATATTTGATGAAGGGGTTAGCATATTCCTGGTCACAGGGGGCAACTTCCTTCCATAAGAGGCCCCCCTCTAACTGTTGGTGTAGGTTACATACCCCTGAACTGTTGAACAGTTAAAAATGCTTCAAAATGATCAATGAAAGTGTGAAATGTGTTTTCTGCTTGAATAATGTCCCTTTTGACATATGGTAGGGTTTTAAACTTGTTTCTCTAACTGAAAACTGTTTAAGATCATCCAATGTGTTTCAACAATTTCCATGAATCACATTTGTAAAGTTTTGTACAATATCTAATTTCCAGGCATGTTTGTTAAACGCTTGTAATTTCTTCAAAATTTAAGACTGAGAATAAATTATGGTATCAACCAAAATTTTAGACCTTTCTCCACACCATGTGATAATATGAGCCAATTCATGCATGTATTAAGAAAAATGTAGCCTGTTGCAGGGGTTCACTTTTTTTGGACCACCCTGTATTTATAATTATATAATTCTCATTTCATATTACCCTTATGTATCTCATGGTTATACAAATTAAAATATGTCAAGTAAGAGAAAATATTATCTTCCAATACAAGAAAATACTTTTTTTTCAAAATATTTCACTTTTTGTGATTTTATTACATGGGGTCAATAGGGAATCTTCCCAACCTAGAAGTCACATTTTCAAAGAAAATTAGACCCTTTTCAAAACCTCATTTCCAGAAGTAATTTTACATGTAGATTCCAAATGTGACATCAGTTTAATGACGTAAATATTGTTTGTCAACAAAGCTACATGCATAATATTTATATGAGTCTGGCCAATATATCATAACTTCATTGGTGTAACAAAAGGGAGCAGGGACAACAGTTAAGTGAAAAGGTCTATTTTGAGGGCATCCTCTACATTTCATTTATCTATCATATAGTGTACCTTTATTTTCTCCTCTGTGCTACATGGTAACTGGTCCATGATGATTATTTTAATGTTCTTACTGTGTGTGTTCTTCACTTCAATCACCTGTAATAACAAAGACAATCCTATTTAATCCACCCATTTGTATATGTTATACTTGTGCACATTTATTACTCATACAAGTATATTGATATAACAAATCATTTATTACGGATCGAATTCATGGACTCAAGAAATTCCTCAAAAAGGTGTATTTCAACCTTTGCACGAGATGTGCAGCATCGGATATGAGGTTTAGGAAATAATGCCTGGGTGGAATGAATCTCAAGTTTTGGGCTTAAATTCTTTTCACACATTGCAAAATATTTTCAGCAAGATCACCTAAAAAAGATACAAAATCACTAAAAGAACCTATTTTCAATGTAAGCTTTTGCAAGGGGCAAGTTGGCAAAGCATAAATTTCAATCAGTACAGTCAATCTGTCACCTTGACAACCATTCAACATATGACCTTGAGTGGGTTGTTGGTTATATATTGTAGTGCAGTTATAGGAAATATTGTGTTTGAATTGACTGGAACTGGACACACCTTGCCTAGCTATTAGTGAATAATGAATTACATAATGAAATGATTCATGATCCATTATTACCTGTTTGTATGTCATAGAAATCGTCTTTGTGATGATTCCCGATTGTTCCCGGAATTTATGCAAAGGTTTATACTGCACCCTTATGCCAGGATCAACTCCTAGTGAACATGTAAAATCTTCTGATGGACTAACAGCTTTTAAATCAGCCTAAAAACAGTAACATCATTTTTTAAAATAGATATACAGAATATTTTATCTAACTGCCTGAATGCCTCTATACTACTATTCGTTTCTTTCCAGTTTTGGAGTAAGCAAGTGCTGACATCTATTTCAAGTTGAAAATAACAATACACAAAATATATTAGTCAAAATTGATTATCTCATGAAATTAATCAGTTCTGGGTTGAACTTCTAGATAATAATTTACTAATTTCCAAACAAAATTCATTTAAAAAATAGTTATATCTTAACCATGGTATGTATGTATGTATATGTATGTATATTTATTTATTTAAGTGCCTCGTATAGATACCCAGCCTATTTTAGGCTTATGGGGCACATTGTACAATATATATGGTATGTAAAATATTTAATGTAACTCAGCACTAAATCATAGCAATCAGAACACTAAAATCAAATCAAAATTAATACCTTTGCAATGAAATTGTTGTCCAAGAATATATTTGTAGGTCCAGCCAGAAGAGCGTAGGATGAAGTATTCCTTACACGAGCCTTAAGGTAAGCATGTGCTGCCATCTTTGGGACACATTCATACTCAAACAGAGGAGTCAAATCAATAATCGCCACGGAAACCTTATGTGTTGCATTGTCACATGGTATAGAATGAAGTCTGGCTATGTCAAAGGTAGTACTGGTGATGCCATCTTTTACCTAAAACATAACAAAATTTCAAGTTATCATGTTCAATCTTCAATACCCTTTGCATTTGTACAACTTAACTTCTTAAAAGAAAACTTTGTCTTCTTTTATAATTAGACTCTGCACGCAGGGTAAATCTTCAACTAAATTACAAAGTGCATTTCCAAGCCAAATAAGCTTGTAATAACTTCATAATTTATAACCGATTTTCATCAAATATTTAGAGAGCATCAGTTGATAGCATCATGCACTTTTTATAAATTCATTCAGAATTTGTAAATTGGAAATCAATATGGCAATTTCATAAGGCAAATGAAACAATTATTTTGATTACAAAATGTAGTATAAAGGCCTTTGATGATACAGTTAAACACATGCACTTATGGGACAATAAAAAATGTATAACACATTATAAAAGATAACATAGAAACATTAAATATTTATACAACATGTTTTATGGGTAGAGGTGACAATGTTGCTAGTGTTTGGGAAAGTGGATTCTAATAATGAAAACATATCATATTATACAATATCAGAGGTTACAACTCAAAATAAATCATAAATCCTTTTACCTCAGTTGAACATATTTGTTAATTGACATCTTTGTTGAAGATGCAAAAAGCAAATATTACAACAAATCAATCGATTGAAGCTTGAATTAAAATATGTCTCCCATAACTTTAGACACCAAAATAAAATGAACTAAGCAAACCTCAGCTGTATTAAGCTCAAAGCTCTCCATGGAAGACCGTCTCCTTGGAGACATAGCTGCAGAAGATTCTAATGCCATGTCATCTCGGAATATTTCATCTTCACTTCCCTCAAGACTGGGCGCTCGACCAAACATCGATTTAGGACGTTTTCCACGCTTGGATTTTGACCGAGACAGACTTTTGTTACGTCGTAATAACCTGCATACATGCACATGCGTTCATGCTTTTTTCACAAACATTTCAGTTATCAAATAAATCCCATCCATGTGCAGACTGATATATATGCAATTTATTCATTTTTCAATAATATGATCAATATATAAATATCATTTTCTACAAAACTTTAATCAAGCTTTTAATATACAAGGTTTCAATGTAGATTAAGAAGCCTACACAATTCTTATTCGTCATATTTATAGCAATTTCTATTGTAATATCAGCCATAAGATCATTCAAAAGATTTTTCATTGAGGCATTTAGATACATTTAGGCATTAAGATACAAACTACATGTATTCCAAAATGATGTTTTTAAAAGGTCATTTAAAAAAGATAGCAAGAATATAAATATATTTGTTCATGAAGTTTGCCATCTTCCGCATCAAACAATGTCTTCAGAGAAAAAATATTTTCTGAGTGTAGCTAACAATGAATAAAGCCTCGTGTAGGATAAAAATAAACAAGAACATGATGCAAATTAATTATTTACTAAATAAAATTCATATTACATTATCAACAAATAAGTAAGTAGAAAAAAATCAGTTAGTCAAAATCCAACTTAATGCTATCTGACCTATAATTAGAAAATTACTGCTTATGAGCCTAAAAAAGGCAGAAAAGACCTCCACCAAAAAGATACATTGCTGTGACTAACACCAACATGCCAAATAAAGCCAAACTACTCAACAGACATTAAGGTGAACCTACTGAAAGAAATTTTGGATCTATTTTCTCATGATGCCAGTACGCAAATATACATGCAATGTCTAAAATTGCAAAGAATGCCATACTCAGCCTACCTAAATACTACTAACTACACCCCCATGCTTATATATCATTTTCAAACCTCAGTAGGTATTTCTGCATATTGAGGTCTATCTTTTTCAACTTCTGAATCTCTACGATATTTCTCTCCTTCTAAACGTATCAAGGCCTCATCAATTGATTTATTCAAGTCCATTGCATTAATCATGACAGACTGAGGACGTTTTTTCACTTTGCGAACACTAGAACGATTGGCATTTTTTGGCGAAAGTGGCGGAAGGTCAAGGCCATTGATGCTGAGTGGGAGACTGTGAAAAGAACAGACTTTTAAGTTTTTAGGTTGAAGAATAAATAACAAATCTCAAAATTGAGATGGAGCAAAAATCCCAGAATTTGATCAAAGAAAGTAAAATACATCAAGATATATTTCAAAAGATCAAAGATATCAAAATTAGAGTGAGATTAAAAATCTGACAATTTTCTTTAAGAGAATAGAAATGAGACGTACATGGTTTAAAATGGAATACATACATGACAATGTACATTTACTTGCATTCAATTCTACCCAGAACACAAAACTCACATTTACCAAAAAGCATACTAAGATGCTATGGATACAGCACTACCGTAGCAGCAAAAATTCAAATAAAACATTTCAAATGTTTACTATAGAAAAAGCAGAGATATTGTTGTCATCGAAGCATATATGATTGAGTTTCAATAGGAAATGCTGGCTTACATTTGTTGTGGCTTGGGTTTGAAGTATAGTCTATGGGTACCAAGTTCAGGCACCTGTCCCCCTACACTTGGCATTGCTGTAGATAGTGATATCTTAGCGTCTTCCCAGTCTTCCCCACTGGCTTGTTGTATCAGGGCATAGTACATGATCTGCAAAACAAAGGTTGTTAAACTATAATAACTATAATATTATTTGTAAAACAGAATTTGTAACATGTTTTTTGTTTCATTGGTTTTTCATTCATTTATCATTTGGTATTAGACATCAATTTTATAATAGTAGTATCTTTTAACTCATACTCTACAAAGATCATTGAAATATTGGGTATTGCGGCCTACATGAAATGGAATATTTGCTCATCATTATCCCAACCTCCGATCACAGGGCTTCAAAATCCAGAATATATTCTTTCTTTTTACCCCCTGTGATAAGCAGTTAGCATTTCCCCGATTAAGAACTCGCGATCTAATTGGCTGTCACAACACTGCGACAGAAATCATGTATAAGTCATTGCGCATAATAAGATCACGTGATTCAGTTTAATCGCGCGCTTCCAAATTGGTTATAGCAGGGGGAAGAAGGATGTACGGATTCTGGACACCTGCTTAGGAGGATGCATTATCCTGAATTCAAAACAATGCCCATTCCTATCATAACGATAAATAAATAAAGTTACATTCCCCTTACCCTCCTAATTATGAGGAATATCACATGTGAAAGAGGCACGATTATCCACCTTGATAGAATGAAATACTGTTATAGTATTTGGTATGATATAATAAGGCAAAATGGGTTTATTCCAGTATATGCCAGCCTGAGAGATAATCTTATTAAGGTCTGTACTCTGTAGTTGTATAACCATATCCTCTATGGGATAATTAACCCTGTCCAATGTCTTAATGATTTAATGATTTCTGAATTAACCTAAATGTTATTGCATGATGAATAACATAATGCAGAATCTTAGAATAATATAAGGCTGATCAGAAATATCACTGGTTGAGATTTACCAGTATTTTAACCAATTTGTCCAAAATCTTTTCAATGGTATATTCATACTGCACAGTAAAACCTGATAAAGGTGGTTTTGATCGACAGTCGGAATACAGCAGTCGCTATCTGTAACAAATGGCAGGTGATGACATTTTGCATGTTAATGGATAGCCACTTATGTCACCATTTCTTGGTGGTATCATAAGTGACATAACAAGGCACTAACATGTGAAACACCTGCCATTTGTTACATACACAACTGTGGAACACCACCGAATGCCAAACACTAACCACTGAACACCAATTGCCAAACACCATCCACAAAAAAGTTGGAAACAATAATAATATGTCACCAATTGTGGTGGTGACAAATTGTAGAAGTGACAAAAACCAAAAATATTAACCTTCATCTGATTATCATTGCTGAAGACTCTGATGTCATATTTTGGTGTCCACTTGGCTTTTGTGACAATGTACGACACGAGTAGCGTCACTTCAGTATCTGCTTCACAGCCAATCAAAACTGATAGCTCTCTGAAAACATACAAGAATAAATAAATGCAACTTTTTTATTGTGACATGTACATTATACATACAAGTTTCACAGTTTTTTAGCAATGATCTCCCAAGCATTAAAGCAAGTAGGCGCAGCACCCACTTGAGATTTTGAAAATAAGCTTGCACCCACCTGAAAATCCATTTGCACCCACTTGAAAATGAGAAAAATCATGAAAAATTGGCATATTTTGACCAATTTTGGTCTAATTTGTGAAAATGAAGATTTTGCACCCACTTGAGAAAAAATCCTGTGGAGATCACTGTTTAGTTTACAATTTGTAGACATTTTAAAAACAGATATATACTCGTACTATAATGCAAGTTATAAGCTTGATTTTTCAATAACCGTTCTCAAGCAATTAATTCTGCATGCAACATGTTTAATGAAATTGAAGTTGAAGATGATGTCTTGAATTAATGCACATGTATAAAGTAGTTCTTTTCTCAAAGTGATGTCTATTAAAAGGATTTAAGTTGCTAAACCCCCAAAAGCATATAATATTAGAAACAGTATCTCTTAAAAAATCTATACTTTTATGTCAAAGATTTAATATCGAACAAAAATTTTTCTTGGAGGTTATTTTACTGAATTATTTGCCATCTTTTGAGAATCCTGAGACCAATCACATCGAATGTAATTCCATTAAATGAAATCACTGTTTCAGATATTCAGCTGTAGGAACTAACAAATATTTCTATTGACATCTGGATTGAAATATGGTATTTACCAGGCACCTCTTCATCTGTACATACCATCTACATTGTATAAAAACATTGATAACCTAAAGACAAATTGAAGGTTAAGATTACATGTTTCCTCACATGGCAAATATTTCTGGAAGCAATGTAGTGCACTAATGAATATCACTTGCAAGATACTTAGTAGGGATAACATCAAAGTGTTTTCCAAGATATTATTAAAATCATGAAAACATTTGAAACACTTAAAGCTGATTTGAGAAATAGAAAATAATATATTACGATAGCTCTAAAACTTGCATTAACATGCAAAATTTCACCACCTGCCATTTGTTACAGATGCTGATGGCTGAGTGCTGTTGTAGACGTTGATGGCTGTATGGTGCTACAGACACCGAACACCAAACACTAACAGCCAAACACTGTCCACAAAAAAGTTGGAGACTATAACAATATGTCACCACATCTGGTGGTGCCATAAAAAAGGAATATAGAGAGGAATTTAGAAGATTGTTTTAAAATATATTATTACAGCCAGAATTTGACTGGAATTTTTAAGCTCCCTTGCTGTTTTTACTACCTTTATATAACAGCATAAGTCAAAGACTGGATCTGTTTTGGCCATTTCCCAAACATCATAATCTATTTGAGTAATTTGAGGTATGCTGCTTTAAATCTAGTTATTTTATACTGAAGGCTATAAGCCAACATCACAGAACTTATTTCAAGCCCTGAGTGTCTAATTGAAAAATGTTGTAATGTAAAATAACACATTCAATATCAAACATTACTAGATCTGACCTTGTGTTCCTTGTGCTCAATATATTTTTAGATGAAGTAGTCATTATTCATTTAAAAAGTTTCAGAATATCAATTTTGCAATTTTGAAAATCAGTTGTACATTATGGATGGTCTGGATGTTGAGAAGGAGTGGAAAATATAGAAATACCTCATTCTATGTTTTGACTTCGATGTTTCACATGGTGATGAATAAAACAATTAATTCAAAAAAATTACTCCTAAAATATACCCTAATGATGTTCACATGAATCTGTTTTTATCAATTATAGATTTCTGATAAGGAATTGCATATCATATTCAAGGCAATAAGCCAGAGGCGTGTAACAGAGCCTGGGCAACATCAATAATATTATTCCAAATGGACAAAGAGCAATAGTTCAACCCCTTTAGCTAAATATGGACATCAGTGTTCTGACCATTAGAGCTATTGATTTGAGCATGGGCTCTCAATCTAGTTGAAAGCCCAATTTGATTTGAGTTAGAACTTAACATGCAGTATCAGATGTTTTATATTGCCAAAGGGCCTTTTATATAAAAAAATCAAAGATTAGCAAATCTAATTCACTCAAAAATCAATTTACTGACTGTTTAACCTGATGTTGCGTTGCACATAGTTGTTAAATGAGTATCCCATTATGAATGAATTATTTTAAGTTTAATCAGTAATCAATATTATATACTACATATTTTTGCAAAATAGAACAAACATCTGTTTGTTATTAAATGCTGCTGCAATGTTTCCTTGAAAGTTTAAGTTTTATTTAATTCATCTAAAATTTGTTTAGTACTCATGTTGAACTTTCTGTTTTAAATGATAAAAGATTAGTTTTAAAATGCAGTTAGAACAGAAGAATATCTCTAATGCCATAAAAAAACATTGAAAGAACTGTGTTCTCAAAACAGGAAATTGCACACCTGTGTTTTTGCTACAGTAAGTATGCATTCTAAGAGAGAAGGATATTGTGTTAGTTTGTATCAATATTTTATGTAACTGTTTTTGTTAACATTTTTTGTTGTTTTTTAGTGCAATTGTTTTTTGTCCCTTTCTACCAATTCTTGAGAATGAAATAAAATGTCTTTCCGAACCTTGTTGGAACAAAATAGCATATACAACATTTTCTTAGACCTCTTAATATTAAAGTTATACAAAGGAAATTTTGGTTGATTTCTCAAAAACTATGCAAAAACTTAAAACAAAACCCCCCAAAATAGATAAAAATTAAGATAAACCTTTTATTTCATTAACAAGATACTTTTTTTAACATCTTGACTACCTTGAGTGACAAGATTTCTCGTCGCCTCAGAAATGACCTTGAAACCTAGAGTGACGAGAAAATCCGTCACAAAATTTTTCACTAAAATTGCTTATATTTGAACAATTATCATCCAGTGTAAACTGGATGAAAATGGTGGAAACTGCATGATTCTAAAGAGACTTCGGCCAGGGCGTGAGGAAATGTTATCAGAAATATTTTAAAACAGCATCATTATAACCTTCATTTCATGGTTTAACTTAGATATTATCAAATGCAACAAATAATGTATATGTTGAGGTTTGAAATTTCGATCAAACCCTAGCTAATAGATGGTTGGAAACAGTTTCATTCTAGAGAGAGGGCATGAATTTTCCTGATTTGGCGGCATGCACTCATATGTTGAAATCATACATGGTTTTATACATTTCTATGTTGTATTTATAACATGTGTTAGCAACTGCTACATTAAGTTCTCATTATAGCATCATCATCTGTGCTCAAAACCTACTGAGATAAACTACTAAACCCCAAAAAACTTGCAAATAGGAAAATTACAGACAAGCAAACTCTAATTACAAATGATTTTTCATTATCTCATTTCTGGAAGCCAAACAATTCTTTTATTTGATAATTTCCAGAAGCGTGATGGATTCTATTAGGATTCAACTATTTATTAACAATGAATAATTCATGTCGGGAATACTGAGTTGGTTGTAAGTTCAAACAAATCAAAATGATAATAAATTTTTCATATAAAACATATGCTCTTTATACCGTTTATTGTACCTATCTGAACAAAGGACAATATTAAAAACAGAAGTATTATTCTAAATTATAAGAGCATGGAACATATAAACCACTCATCAAAGACCTATTTGTAAAGCTAAAAACTAAAATGAATACTTGAACATTGTTAAGTGAAATTAAAGCAAAAATGCACATATAAACTGTCAAATGATAAACATTTACATTGTATGCAGTAATAAAACTACATGTACTTCCATCATGGCTTCATTGCATAAATAGAATCTGAACGTGGCACTCTTCTGAAAGAATGTTGAAGGAAATTAAATCTAAGATGAATATGTATCCAATAGAAAGGGCATCCATTGAAAGTGGTTAATCTTGTTTTAAGAGGCAATCTGGGATTATTGATCATTTAAACAATATGTGAGCATTATGGTCAAAATGGGAAAAAGTATTAAAAGACACAGTTTGACAATTTACAATTGGTCAGTAACATTTCTGAAAGAATGGTGTACCCTAATCAATGCAACATAGCAGATTAACCAATATTCTTGAGTGCAATTTCTTGTAAAGATCAAAAGCAAGATTTGAAAGCAGAAATACCAGAAATCATTCCCAGCACATTCATGTTCCACAATAAGCAATATCTATTACTACTTATATACAATAATCCATTTATAAGAAAGATAATCTAATATTAAGCCAATCAACAAAACCTGGTCAAACTAAGGAATCCTGAGCATCCCATGTAATGATTCCCTTAAGGTGGTCCCTCCTTCCCAAAATATACCTGTGGGATGATGGGATACCAAAAAACCTGCTGTGCAAATGGATATGCAAAGGTACACATTTTTAATTTCTACTGTCCATATAAACAAAACAAGAATCCTATAGAATGATCATACATGTAAGTAATAGATTGTTACAATGAGGTAAAGATTCAAGTGTTGCAAGGTGTATTTAGTCACTAATTGAATACAGGGAATCCTGGCACCAATTAACAGAACAGTTATATAACCATTTGAAATGATATTGTATGGTTACTATGGCAACTGTATCTTTGGCACCTTGATGATGTAAAATTACAACTTTATCTTGTACTGCTTGTTCACAGGTGTAATACTTATCATCATGTATAGTGGCTATGTTGAGATGATCAATAGGAATTGAATGAATTGTACATAGCTTGGTACTACAACCTATTTGTTTAATTGTTTGTTTACTAGTCATTTATCATGCATTTTGGCGTATTGTGAAAGATATTTGAGTTTTATGAATCAATTTGTTATTTGCAATACCTTCACTTCAATTTTCCAATTTATATATATTTTTGTTTTTATATACAACTACTGTAGGAATGGAGAACAATCCAGTGAACTCTTGTTCTAAAGTAATACTATCACTGGGATTTTCATCAGATTCAGTACTTGTTCATTATTCAAGTACTAACACTACAAGAGGAGGTGACAACAT